GTAGGGTGACATTGTTTCCATTTCTCCTCGGGCATTTCTAGAACAACTTCTGGGAAACATTGCCACCAACCACTGAAGAAAACTGTTCTGGAGCAAGAAACCTTCTATCTTCTGATCAGTGAGCTTCTGCGAGCCTTTCAAAATCCAGGTTGGATCAAATACCCGGGTCTACCATCAAACTATCTCTACCTTTTTGTCTGGTTTTAGAGATGAGCAAGCAAACATGTTGCATCTTTGGAAGTTGGAATGCACAGGGGTCGGAGAGGGGTTTTTCAGAGAGGGCATCGGGTTGACATGGAATGGGGTAGATCGTTGTTCGAAATAACCCCGTGTTAGCTGAAAAGTGCTGAAACTGCAGAAAGTATCAGAAAGTACCACACTGTGACGTCTGCGCTGCTGGGTTGATGTTGTTGTTTTTGTTGACATATTTGACATGGCCAGTAGTGATGATGGTAAGTATAAAATCTGTCCCCCCCAAAAAAACAGTGATCATCTTTTACCGACTGGTTTACTGGGTGCACACCGTCTGCTTTCTCTCTCCGATCTTCTCTTAAAAGATTTAAATAAACTAAGAGCAAAGACGCTACTAACTAGGGGCTCCTGGCATCGCTACGAACGGAGCTAAGACGCATTCTGTCGGGTCCTTCGGTCCTTCCGAGTTGAGCCAAGCCTTACCTCCGGTCTGACGTGCCAACCCGTTGACGACCGGGGGAACGAACCCGATCTCCAACTCCAAGGGGCTGAAGGCGTGGAGGGCCTGGCAGGCAACAAGGAACTCTCGAAAGGAACCATCCGGGCGAAGGGGTCATAGAATCTCTTCAAATGATTCCCCAACTCCAAGTGTGAGCTTCTATCTTGTGCACATGTGGAAGGGTCCGGTTTTTCAAGCTTGTATCCTTGGGACATCTTCCAGCCGAGGCAAGGTAATACCTGCAATCTCTTCTGGCAACTGGGCTCACACATCTCAAAGATTGAGTTGAACTTGATCAAACACGCACCCTTGAATCTATTTTAGAGTGAATATTCTTTGTGCTTTCGCTTCGTCTTCTACTTCGGGCTGTATGGTAGGCGGCCTTCCGGCCATCGTGACTCTTCAGTCACCATCCCTCCATATTTTTGGATAGCGACCCTCAGTCGCAACTGGGATCCTCCAGCTGGACATGGAACTGGCCCAAGCTTAGGGAACTCCCGTGCTCACTCCGTTCACGGCTCCCGGTGGTTCGAGAAGATGGAGACCCCTGGCGACTGAGGGTCTCGCTCCCTCAGCTAGATGGCTTGGGGCCCATGCTTCATTGTACTCCTTCTGTGATTTCCACATGTCCGGCAGATAGTCAGAACTTTCCAGTCTCAGTGGTCTCAGTTGTTCGAGGGTGGATCAGTCACACAAATCACCTGCAACCGCTCCACTGCGGCGTCTTGAGACGAAACCGGGCCTGTCAGGAGATGCATCGGATGATCTGTGTTCGGGTGACCGGGTGACGGTCCTGTTTCACCAGATCCCCAGATCCATTGACAGCGTCAAGTTCCATGGTTTGTTGGGAATTCTGCATTAAAGAGTCCAAGTCCTTGCACCCACTGCGCCAAGTCGTCCAAACTGATTTCGCGCGCCAAGAGGTTCACCATTCTGACAACCCATAGGGTAGCTTGCTTGGTCTGGGTCGAGTCTGGGTATAGCTGGCGTGTTTTCCGTGGCATGAACAGGTGCTGTGGGCCCCCGACGCCATCGAAAGACTCACCGTCCCAACCTCGACGCCAGCTCCGTGGCGGCGGGGGAAAGGTGTGGCTGTGGGCACCCCATCCATGACACAAAGGTACCCACACCCAAACGCTCCATGGTGGCGCCAATATGGCCTACATGACTGGTGTTTTTTACGGGGAGTTTTCACTCCGCGCACGGATGCTAGTGGGAGAATGCACTCAAAAAGGAATATGGAAGTGGAGTGAGTTCACCACCTGGTTGGTCCAAACGGAACATGGTCCATCCTGTTGTGGCCAAGACCAGACCATCCATCCACTGCCATGATGAGTTCAGGGAGAAACTCGGGAGAAAGTTGGGCACAGGGGCGCGGGAGCCTGCTAAAACCACAAGAGTTCGGCAAATAAAACATCTGTCCATATCTGTCCAATATGTGGGAGCTGGTGCGGAATCCGCATTAAGAGTCTTAGAACATTAGCAGTGTTTGGCTTCAAAGGTGTGGAGGGTCTGAACAATTGCTGGAGGAAACACAATGTCACAATGTGTGCAAATAGGTGGCACGTAGATCTTCAAATGCCAATCATTTGACAAAGTACATGTTTGTTGTTGTTTTTTACAAACAATGTTTCGTCTCGTCTTGTGCCCACTGAACCAGGCTCACGTGCAATAATGATGGCAAAACTCTTGAACACTGATTTTCATGGTCCTTCTCGAGGTGCACATCGCTGGGGAGTGCAAGATGTTCTACCATGTTCTACATGATGTTAAGCAAATTACACTCCGACTCACTAACATGGAAGTGGAAAACCACGTGTTTGTAGAGGACAGTAGTCTTCCAAGTGACCATTGTCCACTTCCATGTGATGTGTTCGTCAGAATGTATCCACCTTTCGGAAGCCTGTTTTCTGGTCTCCGCCCTTCAAGCCGCCATCGACCCCGAAGTGAACGCGAGTGAAGCGAGTCGACTGAACCCTGTGACTGAACACGGTCGCCGACGCCGAGCTCCGGCCGTGCAGTTTCCTCTGTCAGTGTCGAATGGGTTCGCTGACAAGGAATGGGTCACTTTTTTACACTTCCCATTCATCATGGGTCAATAGGGAAGACAGAATCGACCCACAGCATAAGATAGTATAAGCAAAACAAACTAAGTGCTCAATTTCCCCCTCACTTTTCAGGCGGCCCTCGTGCTGTACCGCCCTGCACCTGGCCAAGCTCCATGCGAGGAATGAACCCGGACGCTGAGTGCCACAAGCGAAGATCTGCTAGGCTCCCAAGCCCTTAAGCTCCTGGTCTTCACGGTCTCCTCCCTCGAGTCCGAGACATCACTGGGACCCGGCTCTGAGAAAAGCAGAGCCTGGGCGGCGGGGAACCCGGGACCCGGATCTGAGTCGGTGGGGTTCATCCTGCTGAGTGGTGAAGACCTGCAGGAGGTCGGTCAGAATCCTCCTGAAGAGGTCGTGATTTGAGACTCCAAGAAAACCGGAGGACCATGCCCGTGAAAAAGAGGTGTCGAAAAAACAAGCATGCCGCTTCTTGTATCACCCAGGTAGAGAGACGAGCTCATACCTTTCATGATCAGGGAGGTCTGTGGACAACGCCTGACCCAGATTTCCCAACAAACCTCCGGTCAATTCTCAGAGAAGCGTCGAGTCAAGGAAACAATTCTACGTGTGACGTGACGACAAAGCAAAAGAGGTCGACCATGTTTCTCATGCATCTGGGCGACCTGTCATCTCATCCACAACTTGGGCATGCATATCACTGGAAGTGCAAGCGGCCGTGCAATCCATGATTAATTCCACATTTCACGATTGAAAGCAACCCTTTAAACTTGATATCTCTGGTCACAGTGGACAAAGTGCGTGATTGCAAGTCTTCGGGATATGTCCTCCAAAAGGGTAACCATTGCGTACAAAAGCCACATGTTATTGCAACTGCGAGAGGAAGACCTTGACTACTCCAAGTGCAGTTCTTAGGATATGGGCTACGAGTGAATGGCTGCTCCATCCGCATGTGCTACTCAACCACCTGATTGGACACTTCGACAACCTTTAACTCCACCAAGAGACGCTTGAGAGTTTTACGCGCAAGAGGCAAGGCTTCAACCTTAGATTTTTGGCGCGGCACATTGGACACATGTGCAAAAAACACCTTGTGCGATTCCTGTCATGTGCCAGCTGAATCCATTGCCAACGTTGAACTAATTGTGAGTTATTCTGGCTATTTTGGGAGCCCCTGGTGGTACACAAAAACCCGGTGTCCATTGAGAGAATTTGAGAGATATCAAAAGAAAGGAGTTTGACTCAAAGCAACTTGAAATCCATCTGTATCTCTCTCTCTCTCTATCACACCCTTGGCTACCTTGGCCCCTGAAAATCAATCGCGACAGTTTGCTAACAATTCATCCGCCACTCCACACCAACATGTGCGATCTAGGAAGGTCTTTCATATTTGGGGCCCAGTTCATCGTGAATGTCCCCAGGCACACGGGCTGCTTTGACCGTGATACCCTGTGTCATTTATGAAACCAGCTCCCAACATGGGTCTGGAGTTTTCAGGAGTCACAAAAGGGTGGTGTTTAGTTCCCATCCAGTCAGTGGATGTTCTGGGCACCACTAACCTCCATGGATAGCACCCCTTTGTGACTCTTGGAAACTCCAGACCCATTTTGGGAGCTGGCTTCCAACTCCCAAAATGGGTCTGGAGTTTAATTGCTGTCTTGTACTTGTTTCCAATGTTGGGGTCAGTCTCAGATCTCAGCCTCCAATCCCGAGAAACTCGTCGGCACACGAAGATGTCTCGGTCGTGGAGTCTGAAGATGTCTGGGGATGGAAACGTGGATCTTGTGGAGTCAGATCCTGCATAGAAAACACATAGAACATACCAGGACCCACAGGTATAGGTGGTGGTAGACATGGACACCCCGAATCACAGCTAAGGGGCTATATATAAATGGACACCCCGACAGGAGGGTCCTGGTGTATACTTTCTTCTTCTGTTCTGTGCATGAATGTTTTGTAGACACGAGATCTCTCAAAAGAACAACAAGCACTCACCAAATTAACAACTCACCGAAACCCCGTGGAGCCAAGCAACTTCGCTGTCGCACTTGCATCCTCCACGCACACCTGGCGGAAATCGATGAAATAGGCCAACACCGGTTCTTCAAGTCGAGCATCTACAGTGGTTTCTAAGAGAGATGGCACTGGCACCCCAGTCGATGACTTTTAGATAAGGGTCCATATAAACCACCCAACTTGCTGACTGTGCCATCGAACCTCTCAATCCACTAATGGATCTCGCCTTACCAACCGGACGTGACGGGGGTCTCATTCTGCTCATGCGGCATTTGCCGAGGTCGAGCTGCAGCCAACATAATTTCAATTGCATTCAGATTCATCATGGTGTCTACAGGCTGAAGAAATGCTGCATATATATATAGCAAATATACCGGTCTAGTAGCGAAGAAAACAGTTCTCCACATGCAGCAGGATCACCGCATTTCATCCACTCATTGGACATGATGTTCTCCCCCCAAACGCCGTTCGTCACTCCAGCCGGTCGTCTCCCGTCGTCTCCAGCCGGTCGTCTACGTTCGTCTCCGGTGGTCCCGGTCCACCTCCATCCTTCCAAGCACCCGCTTCACCTGGGCGGTTTGTATGGTGGTGAGGTCGCCGGGAGGTCGCCAGACTGGTACTGCAGAGTAGCGAGCAGCTCAACCAAAGGCCGAGAAAATGCTGAGGACTAATCCTAAATACATTCAAATACTCATGGTTTTGGGACTATGTTTCCATGATTCATGATGTTTTATGATGTATGTTTCATGGTGCGGGTATGAGAGTTGGACAAAAACAGGGAACATGAAACCATGGATGAATCCGATGGAAACAACGCAAACGACAACCTTCCGACGCAAAGCCAATTGGGCCTGTGACCGGGTCTCCAGGATCCATAATCAAAGCCCAGTGATCATCTGCCGCTGTCAGCATGAACCATGATGAACCCCTGTCCCACCTGAAATGGTGAGAACGTGGGAGGATTCTTGCGTGATTCCCAGCGATTCTTTTCCACTCATGGATCATCATAGATTCACAAAAGTGGATCCACCAGCTTCCCATTCCGCAAGGGAGCCCGCACCAGGCGCGACAAGGTCTCAATGCCCTCCTCCGAGTACCTCCCCGGTTGAGACTGACTGGCCCGGTTGAGACCGCTGGACCCGCACGCGAGCTGTGTTCGTTCGCGTTTTTGTGAACCTGTGCTTCTCAAACCATCCATAATCAGTTTCTGTTTATGTTTTTTTTTTCCCTGGTTGGTAGGGAGGATTCGTTTGTAGTACATGCATGGTAAATGCAGTGACAGCCAGGGGTTCCGACAGCAAAAACCATGGAAAATAAAGTCGTGGAACCAATTGCGAGCATAGCAACAATGATGGTGGTGTGAAGGCATGGTTTGTTGGACAAAACAGGCCAAACCTTACCTGCTCTGTACATGTCTTGCCAAACCCACTTGCACAGGTCTAGGGAATGCCAAGTGGAAACCACTGGGTCTTGGCAAAACATGCGAACTACGCGGTACTCTACACGGTGAACGACGCACCTGACACACCGGTTCGTGACGTCAATCCTCTTCCTTCTCGGAGGTCAGTCAATCCTACGACGCTCAAAGTTTGGCTTTAAAACGAGTGTGGCCAGCCTGGTCAAATGTACTTGTAGCTGGACCCTGCAGCAAGCTGCATCCTCTGGCCAAGAGTTACCCATCATAAACTGGGACTTTGCTTAAGGAACCAACTTTTTCCAGGCAGGGCATCCACACAGGAAAACCCGATCTTCCCGGTCTAAGCTGTTTGGGTTCCGAATCCATCCGATGAATCCTTCGGGGCACATCCCTCCTTGCGCCATCGTCGTCACAAAACAGATCCTCCGTGGACGCACCGGCTTTCTTCGGTCCGTGGTGCATCTGCAAAAAATCCTGCACAGCGGCCGGGTTAGAGGAGAAGAAACGCGCAGTGTACCCGGTGTACCCCTTAAAAAGAAACCCAGCAACATCAGTTTTTAAGATTCTGTCTTTAGTACTTTTAGAGCAGGTCTTCAGAGCAAAAACCAGACGCAAGGTCATTGTTCCATACATGAAATTAGGTGAAGATCAGTTGCGCGCGCTTTTTTTCCCCAAAACCTTGTGGATTCCTGTTGGGTGGGGGGACTTACTTCTCCGGGACGCTTCCGCGGTCACCGCGCGAGATGTCCGGGTGGACTGCGCTCATCGGGCGAGGGTGCCTGGCAAAGGGATCGCAATCGGAAGGTTCAGAGGTGGGACGAGTAGGGCGTGCGGCTTGACTATATATAACTAGTCGTTGACAAACGTTCGCATCAGTCGACACACGTATACCCCAATCAAGTGGTGGTACGTACTTTGGGCGGGGTGAGGGTCAAAAAGTCCAACGACGGTCCAATTCAACTGCTTAGCCACCCCACATGTATTTCATTGTGGACCAAGGCTACTGGGATGCTACTGGGTACAAGCTGCATGTAAATGCCATGGACCAAATAGTCATCGCACATGGAGAGACTGAGGCTCGGACTCCCTTAGACAGTTTTTAACATCCTGGTTTCACAACATCAGGGTTTGACCCGTGCTTTTTCTCGCTTCATGGGGCGATGCCCCTCCTTTCCGTGAAACGAGGTTCGATGGTTTTTACGCCAGCACACAGCCTGGCCGATGCGACTGCTGTCTGGTGTGTAGCCTGTGTAGCCACTTGCTTACGCGGCTTCTTGGCGTTCCGCTCCTCGTTGGAAGTTCAGCCTGCTGGCACACCAGGACAGCAGGAGGCTGGGCAAGAGCCAAATGCCGGACCACAGAGCTGCCCCAGGCAGGAGGCCTGCAGAAACGACCATCAGCTCCAAAGTGCTGTGAATCATCAGCTGCATGACCAGAAAGGCTAGGACCCCCGCTAGGCGCTTGAAAGTACAATGAGAGGCCGGGAAGGCATATCTCAAAGATCTCACAGTAAGGAGAACCACCGCAATGCACATTGGCGTGAAAATCACGAGGCCACAGGAACCAATGATGCCTGCAGCCTTGGATGCTTGGGCTGAATTCACAGGGCATGAAGCAAAGAACACAGACCATCACGCAATTCCGCTCCCGTTCGCCCTCGTGGCGTGAAACCGTTCGCCCTTGTGGCGTGAAACCGTTCGATTGCGCCCTCGCGCTTTCAGCTGCCGCACTTGAGAGGGGGAACCAAAGTAAAGACTTCATCTGAACACAACTGAACTGGATTGGCTTAAGGGCCGGCCTGGGACGACATGTGTTCTAGAGATGACCCCCTAAACGTCCAAAAATTGACCTCAAAAACCACTCCTGGCAGCAAGAGCACCCTCAGCATCACCTTGGCGTAAACCTGGCGCTCGCTTTGTCCATCTGAGCCCAAAGGAGCGGTAAATTTCCCACCATCGACAAGTGGTAGAGGTACAATGCACTCCCCAACCTGGGGCTTCAGGGATCAACAGAACCATGCACCCAAAGGCAAGGTATATTGATCCCTAGGACTCCAAGTACCTTCTGAGAAGGTGTTTGGGGTGGCTTTGGAGGGTCCAAATACCTTCTTGCCCTAGAGAACAAGAAATGGCAACACACCCTTGCCGATGTCCACATGGGACTTTGGACAAGCAAATGTTCGGTGTGGATTTCGTAAAGTGTGGAAAAACGGGACACATCAGAAATTGCCTGCTTGCACCTATGGAACTGATGTGTCAAAGCCTTCCTCACCCTGTTCTGCACATTCTTCTCGAATTCCTGGATGGAGCTGAACCAATGCTGAAGGCATTGCAGAATGACTTTGCGATCACACTGCAGTTCTCCACCATTCACCTGGTGACCCACAAAGCAACAATAGCACTGAGCATTTGCAACCTTGAATGTCATCAACTGTTGCTCCGCGGTAGTCACACTCTCGGAGAAGTGCACCACAGCTGTACCAGCTAGCCATGCATAAGCACACAATCCCAGAATATACATATAAACGGTGAAATGGCTCTCATAGGGGAGCACCAAGTCAACGAACATGGCCATCGTATTCACTAGATTGCATGCAAGAACAAAGGAAGCCATATAGAGCGGCTGGACGAGCAAGCCACCCAGCGAATGGGTCTTGAGAAATGCAGCCATTTCAAAAATGCACCACAGCCTGCTAAGCGTCGGATATTCGGAGTGGAATGCTGGGAAGGGAAGTGCGTCGTGTATTACGTGTATTGAACCCCTGTTCACATCCGTTGTCTGTCCATCCAAGTCGGAACAAGGTGTGCAAAATGCTCTAGGAGTTGGTCCAGTTACTTTTGGAACCACTGGTTGCTATAGTGACAACTCTACATGTATAGTGGAAAATCCTATTCACCGTGTGTGCTTGCGACGGTCATGTGACGTTTGTCTTGGCTGCACCGGAAGCCCTGAAAGGAGTTGGAGGGAAAGCCTGGACCAATGCTCCATCACTCACGTGGTTCCATAGTTCCAATTAGCTCCTTTTCCAGTCTTAGCCATATCATCATCCACTACCATACTAATGAGTCCTGGTGTATGGTTCATATTGTTTCCAAAAGGGCCATAGGTTTCCATGAGGACATCCCCCAACCTCACGAATACTGTTTCGCCTGCGGCAATAGGTCTGATCCCAGATGACCAACAACTTCTTGGAGTGCTTGAGGCAAGCACACATGTTGATGAGCCCCTCCATTTTCTCTGCGTCATCGACCTGATTCACGCAGCATCGATCCAGAAAAACTCCCTCACGAGGACGGCGAAGAAGCAAGACAGAGACATAGCTGATCAGCCCCAGCGACAAGCTCCAAGCTCCTTGAAAGGTGGGTTCTGTGCTGAAACGCTGCACTCGGGTAAAACCTGGCAGCAAGTCATACGTGAAAAGTATCATAGCGACACAAGCCACAAGGTTTCCAATGAGCACAGCAGCAACCCAGTTGTAATATACAAGCAAGGTCCATATTTTGGACCACGCGGATGCTTGCCAACTATGCGAAATGAATTTGCTGATCTCTGCCACGGCTTGGCTGTGCCTAAAATGATCACCATGACTCCTTCGCAAGGGCCTTCCAGCACACTCGACCACACGATATGCTGGCGTTGCCCGCAGGAACCTTTCATCTGTCAATTTGATCTGTGAGAGCCAGTCCACCAAATCATCGGTTCTTTCCTTGTCCTCAGAAGGCACGAGAAAGTTTCAAAACCCAATACAGTACATATATATAGATAATTGCAGTACATGTAACATCATGTATGTATATATAACTGTAGTATAACTATAATATACAACACGTCAGCCTGACAAAGTGCAAAATGCTGGAGGTATCTGGAGGTGGTAGAGCTCACAAGATGATGCTCCAACAAAATGAGGGACAATCTATGACAATATCCACAAAAATCTACACGCCGCGGACCGCGGAGGACTCTTTCCGCCTTTCCACGTGGTGCTTTGCCCAACATCGTCCGTGGATGTCGTTGGGAATGAGCTGGGTATCCAGCGGTTCTTGCAAGGCGATTCCCTCGTGAACCTGTGTTACCGTCTCTTGCCATGCAGTATCAGTATGAATGCCCAGCCTGAAGGCCCGTATTCTGCCACAAAATCATGGAGGTCAAACATTTGTCAAACCATCTGAGTCCGCACGTGCATTAGCGTGGATACACATTGTAAATATATGCAAGGCTTCAAACATGCTATATAATATATGTTCCCAAAGGATATCCACACTTGAGATATTACGTCAATCAATTCAATTCTGCTAAAGTTACTGGGCCTGACGAGTTTCGTCAAAAAGGTCGGAACTGTTGCGAGCCAGGATGTCCCTTTCCTCAGGTACAGGTGCTTCACATTCGTGCTCCAACTGCTCTAGCTCTGCCACCATGGCGGGAAGAACTACTATGAACTGATGTGGTAAGTGAGTTTTCCCCTCGACTCCGTAGTAAAGTGTGGTAGGGATTTGATCTCTGGCATTGCAATGTCATCCTCCAGGAATCTTGCTGTAGCACCACTCTTCAATGAACCTCTTGACAGATGTCCCAAACAATATCATTGTCTGATTCCTCTCCTGCACTTCTGAGGGTGAGGTGGATATCCATAGAACTCATGAACATTCAGAATTCACATCCCTGGCAGCCCTGGCGGCTGATTTTCTGCTCAGTTCCGCGAAAAGCTGAGGCATCAAAGATCGCAGGGTTTCACGGTCCGCCCCTTGCATCAACACATGTCCTTACTCCGAAAAGGGATGGTCAACGGATTCCTCTACATCTTTACCCCAGCTAAGGGCTCCAGTCGTACCTTCGTTTCGAGAGAGGGACTGGGGATGACTGGGTGGGTGCCAGGAGGGTTCATACCTTCGTTCCGGAGGCACGACTGGAGCCCCGCACACCCAATACCCCGATGATGCGAAATCCGCTCAGTCCATGATACAGAAAGAATGTGATCACACCCTAGCACTCCAACCATATCCACCCCCCTGGCACCCACTCCAACCACTTTCTCAGGAGGTAGTTGGAGCCCCAGGAACATACGACTATTGCTCCGAAGTCCCACTTGAGACTCGCTGTGGCAGGCACTTCCCAGCCTTCCCTCCGAACTGGCCTTCCAGTGATCCGCCTGGGCGAAAACGAGGTGCAAGCCACTGATGTACACCTGCCAGCGGGTTTTTGCTCACCCCCAGGTGGAGCAGGTCCTTTGATAAGGGCAAAACTGAATGTAATTGTTTTTTGGTACACTCTGACTCGCTAACGAAGTGGAAAGCCCACTGTTGGTAAAGGAAAGTAGTCTTCCAAGGGACCATGCCATCCACTTCCATGTGATGTGTTCGTCAGAGTGTAAAGCCCACCCTTGCGAGAACGGCGCAAGGGGCATGGATGTTGTGCGTCGGAGGTTCGATCGAACCTCTCAGTGTGAGGTTCTAAGGTCAACCACGCCGATTCCTTTTCTGGATTGCTGGATCCTTGTCCGGCCTGGTTTTTCGTCATGCGACCATGGCCAGTTTAGGTCTACAGTGGTTCCTATATATACCGCAGCCATTAGTCGCATGTTGCCTCCTTCTGGGAACCAGCTACTGTTGGAGTTTTCTGTCTCCTCAGTGGCAAGCCCCAAGATGGATACTGAAGAGACACGTGATGACACGTTAAATCCTAGTTGAAAGGTACACCCTGGAAGACTAACATGGACCCTGAAAACCACTGGTCTATGTTAGTTTTCGGGAGTGTATATTGAGAATGGTTAGAGCCGGATTCGGAAACTAATCGGTCGGATTCTGAAACTAGGGTTCTGAAACTGGGGTTCTGAAACTAGGGTTCTGAAACTTGGATTCTGAAACTGGTAGTTTGAAACTGGTGTTCTGAAACTTGGATTCTGAAACTGGGGTTCTGAAACTAGGATTCTGAAACTGGGATTCTGAAACTTGTGTTCTGAAACTGGAAAGTCAGATTCTGCAACTGGTATTCTGCAACTGGAAAGTCAGATTCTGCAACTGGTATTCTGAAACTGGAAAGTCAGATTCTGCAACTTGCCTTCTGAAACTTGCAACTGGGGTGATCTCCACATCATGCGATAGCGTGTGTGCCTGTGACATCACCTTCGAAGCACATCCAAACCAACGTCCTTAGCCCCCCACCCAACCCCCCACCCCCAACCCCCCCTTGTCCCCATCGTGTGATCTCGACATCCCTCATCGAAATTCACAAAGTTGCGGAATCCTAGTGAGGGAGTCCACAACACAATGTTGCGGAATCCTAGTTGCGGAACGCCAGTTGCGGAATCCCAGTTGCAGAATCCTAGTTGCGGAATCTTGACAGTTGCGGAATCCTAGTTTCGGAATCCTAGTTGCGGAATCCTAGTTGCGGAATTCTAGTTGCGGAATCCTAGTTGTGGAATCCTAGTTTCGGAATCTCAGTTGCGGAATCCCAGTTGCGGAATCCGACCAAACAGTTGCGGAATCCTAGTTGCGGAACTCGACTTTATCCTATTGAGAATGTATGTAATCCCGAGTACCTATTTAAAAACGGACCCCTATTAGAAAAAAGTCATGTCGGAAGCCCCTAAGTACGGCTTATATTAGTTTTTAAATTACCGCCCTTTCAAGCCGCTACTAAACTACCAACATTGCCGACTTTGGAGGAGTTTTTTTAATTAGGTTCCAAAAACAACCGTAACTGCCCACCTCTGTCCGCCCTGTCTATCCACCATGACACGCCGCGCTTACACCAGCAGGCTTTCCTTCCCCCAATGGCACGGACTCACGCAAACGCACTTGCCACCGAGGTCATGCAACACCGCATGGCACAGCGACATCACCTTTCGAAAGCTTTAGCTGTTAGTCTACTGAAGAATCACTATTCTAATGAAGGTTTTTGTAGGGGAAAAGGAAGACCCTTCGATCTGGAGCTTTTTTGCATTTTTGATACGAGTGTAATAAAGGATTCATATAAAATTTTACTGATTTACTTTTTGGTTTTGAAGCTCTTCTCAGGTGACCCTATTTTGGACCCCCCGATTTCAGGGACCCCCTATTAGAAAAAATGCGACCGAGGTTTCCTTATTAGGGGGGGGTTCGTGTTTTTTATTAGGTGGACCGGATTATATGTATGGGCAATCATGTTGATCGAAGAAGGCTTCCCAATCTCTGCACCCAATGGGTGCATGGCATACACGAACATCGGCTGAACACGAGAAGAACGTCATCCAAGCTGTGCTTCTTCTCGTGTCACCCAAAACTGACTCCACCTACAAGGACCGAAAACGGCGGGAGCCTTGCAATGGTCACTGACCAATCGTCTCCAGGGAACCACCATTTTCACCTGGGAGGCTCCGAAACGCGACCGTCGGGGAAGCATCCGAGCGTCTGGCCGAGCGTCTGGCCGAGCGTCTACCCCCGGTGGCCAGTGGTGCGACGAAACTGAACGCACTTTCCAAACTCAGCAGCCACTCAGCTTAAAACGGGTTGCGAAAAAATCAGAACTGTTCTGCACTGTTGTGAGCAAACCATTGCAGGAATCATTATTAGAGGGTGTCCAGTTTATCAAGCTATATTTAATGAAATTTACACCGCTACTTGAAGCTGCACGTGATTCAACACGTCGGTCTCCACAACTGAATAGGCAAAACCATCTTGATATCCTAATTGGAGATTATGGGAAAGCCTATATAGCTCGAAGCAAACCCTTGTGTTTCACAACGCAACTCGTGGGGTCGCCAATCTCATTTTGAGATATTGTCCAGGTCCAGGTCGGATCATCCTGATTTCTCAATCACACCGTGTCGCCAGGTCTTAGGGCGCAGCACTGGTCTTGTTTCAGACTGGTGCATGACTTAGTCATCCGATACCAACTCTTCACGCCATGGGCCATAACCAACTCCTGAAAAGCGGACCCAACATGCTCAGTTCTCTGGGTTTCCATCGTGGCCCTTGTGGCAAGTCGGACAACCCACAGGTGAACATTGTATGCAAATTCCTCTCTGACTCTAAGGGCGCCCAAAACAAATACCTAAGCCGAGCCGTTCCGCGCACAGGTGATCGTCCACTTGGACCGCCCCATAGGATACCCATTAAGTCGACAAAAGACACATGAAAAAGAACCAAACTCGGCCAGAACTGAACCAACTGGACCTCGCGCGTTGACAATGATACACAATACAGTCGCTGCACCTCGCAACCGCGCGCGGCGCGCGCGCGCGCGCGCCAAAAAACTCAGGTGGGCCCGGCGCAGCCGAGGTTGGCCGCCGTGCAAGAAAGGCCCAAGGCATTGAGGGAAGAGACCTCATCATGGCCATAGTGCGAGTCTCCGAAAAATGACCAAGGATGAGAGGGACGGTCTGAACTCAGCGCCCAAGTGTCCACTTCCCCTGAAGATTCAATTAAAAATAAGCATAAATATATTGAAACCACAATACATACTGTAATTTACTGTACAGTAGACGGTTGATTGATTTGTGAAAACATTGGATTCTCAACCTCTTCATCTGGATGGCTTTCCTAATCAACAGTCAACAGTCTACATGAAGTTGCCCAAAGTTGTTTGTACTTCTGACCCTCCAAGACTGGAAAGCCAAGTGAGCCGCCCTTTTTGTGAGAAGTGAGCGGCAGCTTTTCACGCTTTCCCCGTGGAAAACAGCATGATCTTGTCATCATCCTGGTGCAGTTTGCTGAACCACACAACACTAGGATTTCCACTGCATATGCAGCACTCTCAGGGGCATGCAGTGCGTACCCTCTCAGGGTCCCGAATGCGTTCAGCTTCGGGCATCGATGATTTCAAAGCAACACTAACCTGCCCTGCATGAATAGGGGCGTTGGAGGTAGGGCTCCACCAATGACCCCTTGTGCTGCAAAGAAAACATGCAAAGAGACCGGCCTGTGGCATATGAGAACGGGCAACCACCCAACCAACACAAGACAAAAGAATGCTTCTGGGATGGGTAGGGTTCTGGCTTCCATCGGCTTCTCATGCCCCACTTCATCCAAAATCCCCTCACTGGCCAACAAACAGAGTTCACCACAAGGTGACACAAGTGTTACCCAGACGCTCCATGTATGCCATATATGCCTACATTGACCCCCAAAACCACCCCAATGTAGGCATATGTGGCATACATGGAGCGTCTGGACTTTGCTTAGCTCACATCCTCCGAAGTTGCAATCACCTGGGGCAGCCAGGCATCTAATTCCAGGCCTTTCAGCTGCACTTGGCCCGACCAAAGCTGTACCTCAGTCGAGTTTGGCCATAAACACCCAGCAAACAAGTCTTGGTGATTGGATGTGTGTATGCACAGTCCAGATCAGGAATTGGGGAGCTCACCTTCACCAACAGGATCCAACAGCGTGGTGGCTGGTGGTTTTTTGATAAGTTCTTTCAGGCGTGCTCTACTTGTCCAACAAAACATCTGTCCTCTGTCCCGTTCGTCAGAATGAACTAAATCCGCATCATCCAGTTCCGATCTGGTGGGGATGGCCCAGCATCACATCTGAAGAGTGTGCCTGAACTCACCGTAGCGGTGCCTACCGACTCTTGTCCCGTTCAACGGTACTTCGCCTCGGGACCTTGTCATACCTGGTCCCAACAAACGAATGGTCGCATCATGTCGCATCTTTTGCCAATGAGAGTGCACATTTGGGTTGATGTTGGGAGAGACAAGTTCATCAATCAGGGTCAGGGTGGGGGCTGCCATGTTGAAATTGTTAATTCTACGTATTTGATGAACAGTTGACATCCAGAATGTACCTGGCAGGACAGGACTTGGAGCGCTTGAACCATTTGGCCGCAGTCAGGTGCTTTTCGCTTGTCATTCCACAACCAGAAATCTGTTTTATGTGTTTCCTTTTGGTCATGGCTGTGTGGAGCCACCGCCATGGTGGTTTCGACTCTCGGTGGTTTCGACTCAGGGGCGCTGAAGATGATCCTCGCCATGGATCTGCTTGGACGAGTGAGCCAGGCCATGGTCTTTTGGGACGAGTGAGCTAGACCCACGGCCATCATCACTGGTCAGGCCCTGAACACCGAGCTGATCCACAGCGCACTTCGAGCTGATCGAGGTCGATATCTCGCCTCATCCACAGCGTGCGCAAGGAACACCGGAATCTTGGAGTGGAACTGCTCAAACGCTGGATGTTTTCTTGCGAAACCTCCCCGAGATCTGAATCTGTCTATCTGTCCACTTGACTCACCATGTCATGACTGCCCTGTTCTACCTGCTACAGGCTTCGCGTGGTCCGATAGTTTATCCTGATTTATCCTGTAACATCCAGAGGTGACGTGCGAGAATTCCTTGACACAGAACAGGTCTCAAACATCTACAAAACACGATCGCACCTACCACCTAGCATGGCTTGCTGCGGCATGCTGTACTCACGAAAGTAGGGCTCCGACTTCAGAAAACTGCCGATCACACGCTTCAGGAGGTACTTGTAGAACCTGCCGTCCAAGATGCGCTAGGATTCCGCGTGGAAGTGCCCAAATATTCCAAACCCTCTGTCACACCCCGTTGGTCACCCTATGAACATTCATGAACCCATTTTTGGTCACAGTGATCTCTGGGATCCGTCCATGCTTATTAGGGATCGAGAAATCGATCGATGTCTAATCAGATTCCAGGTGCCTCACCGGACCCAGTACCGACGGCCCAGCGGCACCTCTTGAGCGGGGCAGATGCCAGGGCCATCGATCCTGGCGAGACCGGCCCGTTCGCGCGGCACCGCGCACCGAGAAAGGTCGCTTGGACTGCAGGGGTCGTGGTCGTTGTAGGTCGACGAACAGGAGGGACTGCAGGGGTCCTGACTTTGTTTCCCCCCCTTGGCAGGCGCAATGGATTTGCAAAAGTAGTGCAACATAGTGCAGCGCTGGAAAGGTTGGGGGTAGGCGCAGCGCCGTCGTCCGGCGCGTTCATCTCTCCCCCAAAGGCGATCACCATTGCTAGATCAATGGAGGGCATCCAGAAAGTGAGACAAGGACCAAGGCAACCGCAAAAAAAGCAGAGCACCCTCTTCAGCAAGGAAACCGAACGCTCGTTACTTTGCAAAGTTCGACGCACAATTCCATTCTCGCACTTTCCAACCAATGGACGAGGCCAGATCGGCCCCTCGGAACCCATCGCTCTCGTGGCCAGTTTCGCGAACACACCGGGCGAACACACCGGCCTTGGGCTTCTTAGCCCAGCCAAGCGAGTCCATACATGAGGAGATTGGGTATAAAGAGTCCGTGTGGACTCAGTGTTTTTCGCATCGGTTTGTGCCCATCCCACGTGGATTTCGCGTGGATGTCCATCTTTTCTTTTTCAGGCAGGTCTGATGCTCTTTCCCATGGGCTGCTATAGCGTGGCTGTGTGTGTGTGAAAAGAACGTATATGTCATAGCCTTCTTTCTTTCTTGCTTGTATGCATGCTTGCTTGATTGTATTGGTCAATTGCAAGTCGCTACCATATTGAGAAAACACCGCTCCGGACATGTCCGCTGAAGCACCACACCCCGACAGCTTCACCCAGACCTTGAGCCGACCCGCCGTTCGCACGGCGACCGAGGTCCATGTAGCGAAAGCGATCTCCGTGATGCTCGGCATAAAGAACAACATGATTCACGTGATAAACCACTCAGCCATATACAATTATCAAACCAACATATATAAGGAAGTGCATTACATGTCATGTGAGGGTCCACATCGAAGCAACAACAAAAATCAGCCAAAATAAACCCAAGCAAGTCTGGGAACCGCTTTGCCGCTCTCTGGCCGGACCATTCTCGTTGCTTCACAGGCACTCTTGTTGCGATGCACACGGTTCGTGTGGATCATGATCGCATCCTTGTAACCATGCTTTTGACGCAACGACCTACCATAGTTTAGAGAACAAACATCAAAACTGCCGGTTGGAAAAACAAGACAGAAAAACAATGAAAAACACTGCCTTCTAGTATAACCGAGTGTAACCTTTGCTAGTCGCTTTTCAGCAGGTCAGTCAAGGCATGGTCAGTCCTTGTATCATATCTTAGATCAAAATCCCCTACGCCAAGAAAATGATGGGCTTTATCCGTGCAAAACCAAGAAAACAGCATCAACCCCAAATTGAGGTCCAGTTGGCCCTAGCGAACACTGGATGCCATTCAGCAAGTCATCCATTAAGTTACCCCAGAATTCCAAAGCTCTCAAGAAGCGCCATGTGCAATGGGTCACACCTGGCTAGCTCACCATCTATGGGGGGTGCCCCATTGCCATCACTGAAGAACATGGGCCCCCAACTACCTCCACCGAGCGAGGTAGTTGACGTCATTAACAGTGCTTTCACGATTCGTGCAGGGACCAAACACCTTAAACACCGACTCAGTCGACTCAGTTGACGGCCCGGTGGTGACGGGTTTCTGGCCCGCTGGAGAGAAAGGATTTGAGACTTTGAGATTTGCCTTTTTGCTGTGCCTGTTCGGAGACAACTGGGAGGTCTCTCGTCATTCTGTGCCTCGTCCTATCCGACTTTTACTGATTCTGGCACGAGGTTGAACAGGTGAAGCATCTGGGCATGTGCATCATGGGTCAGTTCATGCAGCCAAAACAACAAAAGTTCCCTTGTAGATCTTGTAATTGTAGGCAGTTTGGTTCAAGCTTGGGGGGCTGCACTTGAGTTGCACTTGGAAAGTGCCATGCAAACGTGTGAAAGTGAACGTCGTGAAAAACATTGAAAAACATATGCCACTTAACATGCAAAAAGTCAGCCCATGTTTATCCAAGACTATTATGGTGCCCAGTGTTCGGCTTCAACGTTTCAGGTTTGATGACCGCTCCGTGGTGTCAATGTGCCTTTGCTTTGCTTTGCTTCGGGTGGCAAAACCCAAGGCATCTCAGCAGGGCACGCCGATCTGAAGGGCCTTAGCCGCAACAATGCCACAAAACCTGGGCGACACACACACACACATGTCCTAGAGAATTCCGCTCTGGCTCACCAGCATGTAGAAGCTGCCAAACTCACAACAAGCACCTCAAAGTAGCCGGAAAAAAAGCCTCGAACTAATCAAACTAACCCTTTTACTAAACAAACACAACATTAAATAACATTTTTTTAAAAAAAGAAAAACATAAAGCAACAACAACAACAACATGTCCTCGATGGAGGCCAGTGGTTGGCTGATGTTGGCTGGGAAGGTGCACCTTGCACTGAAACAATGGACCATGGAAGGAGGAGTTTCCCTTTCTGGCCTTGCCAAGGCCATGGTCCACTTTCATGTTGGAGTGCAGTCTGCTGGAGTGTAGCCCTACAAATGAAGATGTACCCAAATCAAAAAATGGTCCCACACAAAAACAATGGCAACAGCCTCACCCTCCCATCCTCCAACCATGTCAGTCTTCCCGTGATGATTTTCTTCATCTTTTTCTTCGGCGCATTAGGCAGCGGTGAAAGCGACAAAGCGGCGTCTCCTGGACCAGTGGTGATCCCGCCGATGAAAGGGGTGTCCAAACTGAAAAGCCGCTGGCTAAGCCACTGATTGGTGTTCCAGTAATAAATAATTGTGTATATATAGATAAATTACTACAACATCAGAAAACATTAACTATATGTCGTAGCATTGTGTAGCACATATGTTGCGTAGTGTCTGCTTCAGGTACAGCGCCACGACACATCTCAGTGGCACCTCCAGTCCGCTCCAAGGCTTCGGTGCAGCAAACCACCCCGTCCGACCGGTCACCGAAACGGGTACGACTGGAGCTGGACTGGGTTGGACGGGACTTAGGGACCTCCTCGAACGGTCGGTGTTCGCCTCGCCGTCGAGGTCTGCTCAGGTTCCCAGGACGATGCAGGAGAGCCCGAAAGCCTGGACCTGAGCTCGGTGGAGGCGTGGACATGGCGAGGTGGAACGACCAGGGTTCCGAGTTGGAACGACGGTCCACCTACATCGGCAGCTCCTGCCATCTTCCCGGTGTTTACTCTTTGGGCTGTATACTGTTTGATGCATTGAAAGGAAGTCGACCGTCTAACGAACTGTTCCGAAGGGCTCGTGGAACATTGAGATGGTCACCACACATGTTTAGAAGGATCTACTTCCCGGTACCCTCAGAAACTGAAGGTAGCTATCCTCTGCTCACTTGCTGTCGAACTCGGAGCAAGCGTGGTACGAATGGCAGCCAAGCGGCCACACAGGAAGCTGCAAACCAGCGTAGCTGCGTGGTATCCTGGCCAAGCATGGCCAAGCTGGGCTTTCTGTTGTGAATGGCAAGTAGAAGAGTGTTTTTGCTCACAGGGGAACGAAATGAGCCCTTCCCAATGGACAAACAATTTTGCACCGACTATGCCGTTGGTTCTTCTTAGGCCTTCAACACCCAGGCCAGCTTCAAGAAAAGCATCCCAAGGGCGCATAAATGCACAATTTTCCCTCTGACCGTTGGGCAGTCGTCTCTCTCCGAGAAAAAAACAACACGAATCCCCAAGTCCAAACGCAAGGTGCGCATCCACAAAAAGCATAATATCCAAAATGCTTCACAGTCACAAGGGCCACTATGCACCAGTCACTCAGCCAGGCTGTTTTAGGAGCAGTCACTCACCTAACTTGGTACTTAGTCACCCAACTGCATCGACCAGCATACACGACACGCAAACGACTGCAGCCTGGATCTCCTTGAAGATGAAGACTGAGATCAGCTGTGACACCAGCACAGGGCCTTGCTGGCAGGGCACCGCAAATCGTTCAACTAGGACCTGGACATACCTGGACCGTTTCAGAAGACATCCAACCGCTTGGTCACCTGGGGGGTCTTGTGTCTTGTGGCCGAATGTACTCAAACGCTCCATGTATGCAAATATGACCTGCAATTGGTGGTTTGGGCTGGTGAATGTAGGTCATATTTGCTTCCATGCAGCGTTTGGGTGCATAGTCCTGTAGTCCCTCGACTACCTGTCACGGCTATACTCTTTGTTGAACCCTACGGCTCCAACCACATCCTCAATTGGACTGAACCACGGCACCCGCCCGCTTCTCAACCCTTCTCATCCGCCCTTTTAGGTCCCGCCGGCTCCGCCCTCCAGCTGAGGAACCAATGACACTGAGCATGTAGGTGGCCGTATAGCCGATATCGTCCAGCCTCGGTTTTCAAAACCTGGCGACCTAGGGTAAAACCGCAAGTCCCACATGGTAAGTATCTCCAATGATCATTTCACTTATTATAAGTATCAAACGAGTCGTCGCCTTGGCTCAGTGTAGACCCCTTTACATCCCTTGACCCTTGATTCATGAATTATGAACAGCAAGTTTTGAAGAGCAGCTTTTACCATCCAAATGGGAGAGGTTTTACCAAATCTCTAAGAGCTATACCTTAAACAGTCGAAACGCTGATGCCCTCTACCTCCCATAGTCCAATCGCAGTGGATGGCGCCACCTCATGTACCTGTTGAACCCCTTCCAAAGCGGTTCTTCCTGAAACGCGCCCAGCGGCGACTTGGCAAAGCACGCAAAGCCCAGCGCCCAGAAGCCTCGGCGTTGGGAGCTACAGGCCATGGCGCTGGAGCCCCAAACCCCTAGGGACTCCTTTCGAGGCACGGCCGGAGCCTATAGGCGCTATAGGGAAAGTCCCGAGAGGGTCTTGAAGCGAACGTGTCCCACAAACCTTTTGTTGTATGGCACAGTGTTCAACTATGTGTTAGCTGAGTTCATTGAAGTCTAATTTTCTTCTCACTCGAGTTTTTGGTCGGCGACCGCCCCAAGTTGGCCAATCCGTGTAATGATGTAGTTCATCTCCAGGTGTGGTAATTCAATTCAATATCATGTAATTAACTATGCATGTAAATATCAAGATTCAAGTTTGGCAAAATCAGCCCCCCATCTTTCCATCAAAGGACCTTGAGGATGGACCCCGAATGGGAATGCACGGCCGATGCATGGACCATGTCGACTTGCCCCAAGGAACAGCCCGAGAGGAAGGCTGGACGGATGTTGGGCTTGGCCGGAGACCGCAGGTGTAGGACCTGCCGCTTCGCCGATTTGTGGACGATTTCTTTGAGGAAGGAGGCTGGATGGAGGGTGAATCAGGGTGTGACGATGAAAAAAACCGAGAGAGCTTGAGGAGAACTTTGAGTGGTACATCAAAAAATGGTGCAGATAGGCCTAACAAAAAGGGCTGTTCAACCTCCTGCAGGTGAAGTAGGAGGTTTACACCACCGTTTTCCGGTGCCAGGGCGCGACGGCACCGGCGAGGTCAATGCCAGCACGTCTTGTGACACTTGTTGTCTACCAGGACACCCTAAGGGGCTTCCATTGATAGCTCCTTAGAGGTTAAGGGGTGTCCATTAACCACCCCTTGTGTGTCCAGGTGTAATCTACTATTTACATTTTTATGATATAGGATACCGGATTGCACCGCTTTAAGTGCCGGATCTTTTCCATCAACAGTAGAAAGTCATCAAGTCTGCAGCAAATGGATCCTTCCAACACGTTGCAGCTAGTTTGGTGTTCTTTCCGTTTCAGTCCTGCAGAAAATGTATATTCTTTTGAAGGTGGCGGCAGCTACGAAGGATCCCCATCCCCTTCGGCCAAATGTGAACATTCCTGTCACCACTCCCCATTTTTCTCTCAAAGGGAGGTGGTCGTTGAGCTTGAGCGTGATGGTACAGGCGCACTGACGCGCGGAGTGAGAGGTTCAGGCGCTGGGGCAGCATAGACCCAGCCTCAGGTGACGCAAAATGCCATAGGTAGCGGCTAGTGTCCTGACAAAATGGTGTCTTTTGGTGGGGCCATGCTCCTATCAAGGCATCGGGAAGTTTAAACATATATGTTCAGATTCCCATGTTGACTTCTGGAAATCAGCAGGGCAAGAGCGAACAGCAAATGCAACAAAAACAACTTGATTTCAATCGACTGCCCTTGTAGCTCCTACCTTTTGGTTGGGGTGCCGTGGGGTCCAAATACCTTCTGAGGAGGCAGTGAGAGGAGCCCTAGGGTTGAGGAAATCTTATCTCACTCTGCTTAAGCAATTGATCCTTTTTCAGGCTGGAGGGTCTGCTTTGTGAACTTGATGTGACCTGCAAACCAGTGTCTGATCTGGCGACCTATCCAAGCCGCTTGAACAGCTTTGGGAGGGCAAATAGGCACAAAGCCTCATCAGGGCGAGCGGCTGGTGATGACTGGAGCATCGACCAATGGAAAACACTCCCCCAGGCCGGTGATCTTTGAGACCATCCAGGTAGGGTGGCTTTTATTATAGAATCACCAGTCAAGCGTCAACATGAATTTCTTGGGCACGGCCTTTAGCTGCTAGAAAAGAGCACTTGGGGATGACACACACATATCCTCAGCGGACGCAACACTTATATATTGAGAACCTATCCCAAACACTCCATGGGACGGCCATATATGCCGCCCCATTGACCCCCTAGCACCACCCCTGGCCGTTTCTCGGCAGTCCTATGGCAGTCCCATGGGTCGCGTTTGGGTAAGGCCCTATGGCTCCTGATGACCTTGAACTGCAGCCCCAAAGATAAGAGCTGCCAAGAGCGTATAAGCATCTGATGAGCATGTATAAGCAATCAAATGTACTCAGGGAGGTCATTTTAGCTCAGCCTCATTGTTCGGCACCACCGGTGATTCCTATCCCTCCTGCCCAGCGACTGCCGTGGATCTGTGCGCGGCGTCGTTTGTGGCGTCGTGCACGGTGCAGGTGGCGTGGGCGCAGAGGCTAAGGAAATGAACCTGGGGGCCAAGGCACATTGGAACTGAATATTTTTGGCTGAGTCTGTGCAAAAAGTGGCAAACTGCGCAGGTTGGGAAAACTTGCCTCGAATCTGTGGTACATTTTGGTACATATACAGCAGAGCAAAGAGTCCTGAGTAAGGTATATGCACCACTCTCACCAACGAGCAATCATGCATTACATCATAATGTTTTTTGGGGGGGCTTGGCGAGTGAGTGAGGTCCAACCAGAATCCTTACCCCCTACCCACGCTGAACATCATCCAATGAGCCTGTGATTTGTTATGCTTTTGCCCTGTCTCGGAACCGGTGATCCAATCGCCGGGACCTAGGACCCCATCCCACCTGCCCATCCCGGCTAGGGCCCCCGAACCGGCAGGGGATCGTGCGGGGCGCTGCAGGGGACACGCTACTGGTCTTCGACCCGCTCCGCGAGGGGGGCGCTGCAGGCCCCGTCAGCGGCGAGCGCGGCGAGTGGGCGCCGCGGTGAGCGGCGGTGAAGCGGCGTTTTTTGAGCTCCTGGAGGAGTGGGAGGGATTCAGCAGTTCTGCAAGACGGTGGGAGGTTATGGGAGATGGTATTGGAGGCGCCTCGACATGTGACATGATGAACATGCTGTTCTCCTTTCAACCGGCGGAACGCCAACAGACCGACCATGACCGAGCGCTTCCGGGCTTCAGCTGCCGAAGTCGTGCGAAGTGATATGCTTTCATGATGCACCCTGAAAGAAGAATGCAACAGCTTCATGCTCCTGCAATCTCCTGCACATGTTTATGATTTATGAATGTTCAAATATGTTCATTGATCTTCACTGTGCCAAAAGCACCAGTACTCACTCTCACCATGTCGGCGCCTGTCCTCGATTTCAGCCTGTTGCCGTTCCACTTCTCGCTCAAGGAAGGCATTTTCCACCGCTACCTTGGTTGGTGGCCCAGCAAATTGCAAGCTATGACTATGAACTACAAGGATATCCAGCCACAAAACTGTAAAGCATCCGGGAGAAAAAGAACAACACATATCAATAAACATAGCCATAGCCATAGCAAATTGACCCCAGGCCCCTGCGTGGTATTCCGCATGATTCCGCTACGTCTCCCATTGTCTGTCAGATTTTCCACATTCATCTCAATCCCACACTCATCCCACCACATCTGCCAGGCCACAGCATGGAGAGCCTCCTCTCTGGTCAATGCGTCCCCGATCGTCGGCGGTCTCACCAAGCACCGTGCAGCGTCGCGACCCACCGCGTGGGAGCTGTGGTCGCCCTCCAAAGGTCCGCCTTCGATGCCCCAGTTGTTCTCCTCCTTGGTCGACGGAGGGTTCCAGTGGAACTGACTGCGGTGGGGCTCTGGTGGGTGGAAGGGAAGCACTTGGAGCTCTACAGGACTCTATAGGATAGAACACTACATTCCGAAAGACCACATGTTGGTTACTCGAAAAGCTTACGGATGGCCCATGCCACGGCCCAAAGACCGTTGATAAGGACCACTGCAGGATGAGAGTAAATAAAAAATGATCAAATGATATCAGCTGCTCTTTTGTTTCAGGTCTGAGTGAAACAGTAACGACATGTAACGAAGGTCGAAGCTCCATTAATGATAGTTCCATGGGCACAGGCTTGGTATTGTCGCCGCTCAAGAATGTAGACTCTTGATTAAACCCACCCATTTGAATTAGACTCGACATCCTCTTCATATGTGGGGTGTATTTGATATTTCAATATATTTCAGGTGTTCACCCATGAAACACCATGCTGTTTTCCAAACATGACCCCCCCCACACACACGACGTGCTGTCCCTTCCCCTGCACCGCAGCGTCCGAGCACAAAGAGTTGGCGTCGTGCTCGGCGTCCTCCACGGCACCCGGCGCGGCACCCCAGTGGCGGCTGTCGTAGGCACTGGTCTTCGAGGATTTCTCCTGAGGATGGAGACTCAATGGCCCAAGTTTGAGGGACATGCGGTTTTCAGAGGACTTTTGGACCCAAACACTCCATGGGACTGCCATATTTGCCGATCTGATATGGCATACATGGAGTGTCTGGGTAATACTAATATTAATTAGGTCAAGGTGGACTTCTGCAAGGCTCATGGGCTAAAGCAGCAGAATCTGAGAGTCGACGGTGCATGGAAGGAAAATGGATGAAACCAGTCCCGAACAGGACGACAACGGTCCTTTGTTACGAACAGGGGGTTTTCCACGAACTCATGACTCATGTTCGTGTAATTTTTTGGTGTACACCCATGGCCAGCATGTGAGCATCCAAAAGCCGCGATCAAAAAACGGTGTCAGTCATGCACGAAGTAGGAGGAGGCCACGGAGGGATTCTCGCGGCGCCCCCAATACTTCTGCAGCTTCTCCATTCCTCGGCGCGCTCGATCCGTGACGTGCGACGGAGAACGCGTAAAGCGCGACGTGTTACGTTCAGCCGGCCAATGGGCGTGCAAACGGGACAAAAAGGGGGGCGTTGGCCTTCATCAAGTCGGAAAACGGCAAACACAAATCACGAATGAAACCTGAAGTTCTCCAAGTGACCCTCCTCGACCTTCATCTCCAGCTCATGCATTCGGCTCTCCTCTTCCGGGTCCAAATGCTCGATCACCTCGAAAAAGGTAAAGTCTGGAAGAGTCGCGAGCGATATGAGCGACATGGATTCTCCGAAAAAATCCAGCCCAAACGCTCCATGATGGTGCATTCACCATCATTCACCACTTAAAACCACCAAATGTAGGCCATATGCATACATGGAACGTGTGGGAAGCATCAAATGCCGTTCCATTCTGATCTTCCTTCCAAACTGGGATCAGGCGAAGCGGTCGACTTCAATTCTGCAAGGGCAGCCCTTTTCGGAAAGGGCACCGGTTTGCAATTCAAAGTGACGTCGCAAATTTGAGGACCAACAAGTAACCTGTTTTGCTCAATGTGTCTCCGTGTCTCCTTCTAAAAGGATCATGAGCCATGAGCTTGTGACAGCTCCCCCAAATCTCCCTGTCACGATGTCGCTCGGACAGCTCCGACCGCAGAGCTTCACGAGCTTCACGTTTCACGTCTCTGGCCAGGGGGCTACAGAGCGGTTACTAAGGCGAGCAGGATTCTGCTGCAGCAGGGCTTGGTATCCTTCCAACATCAGCATCTGACCTGGAGAGCAAGCGGGCAGAAAGGAACTTGACCTGGAATAGCAAGCAGCTATATAAGGGGCTTAGCTGATTGAAACTCTGATTGAAATTATGTTTCAGAACCAAAGCAGTTGACAACGACTTCCTTTTTGCACCAGTTCACTGCTTTTCTGCTTGGGGGGAATGCTTCCAGGGTTCTTCAACGGACATGCTTCACGTCAGTCGGACATCCCGCCTCTCAGGGGATCATGTATTTTTCTAATATTCATAAAATGACTCCTCGTGGCTGCAACAAGTAAGACACAGTGCACATCTGCATATCCATATGTGTCTTTTATGGCCAAACTCTGGCCAAGCGAACGCAGTCTCGACAAATGCAGGTTCAAAAAAAAAAAAGACTCGTAGAAACATGCAAAATACTGCCTTGCAACAAGTTGGCAACTCTTTTTGGCCTAAACACATCGACCAAGAATTGTTGTCCACAATCCCGGCAATTGAGCCCAAAGCATCTTGATCAGAATTGGTATGATGGTGCCTTCAGGATTCCTATCACCTGCTACACGATCTACATGCTGAGAAACTCCTCAATTTGGGACCTCTCAGAGTAGGCATCAAAATTTAGCTTCTGCTCTCACCAAGAGCAGGCCCTGGAGAACAATGCCACACAATCACGTCAACAAAGCCGGAGCTGGCTGTGGGTGCACGTACAACGGTAAAAAACCTTGAACATCTTCTGTCATCCCAATGAAAACCTGCACATCATCGCACCAGGTGCACCTGGATCTGACCACATGGTGTTCCTTCGAAACAAACGCGACCTCGGCGGTGTAGGGCGACCCAGGCACTCTTCGCCAGCAACTCGTCGCTTTTGGCATCCAACGCGCCCGGGGCCTCAGGTCGAAGGCGACGCTCACGGCGCGGCCGGACTCCGAGGAGGTCCGGACGATGGCTGAGCCAGGTGCCCGTGTTGAAACGTGCTCTCTTTCGGGATGCTATATATTATATAGCACATAATTGAACATATACCAGGACCCTCCAAGAGGTCTCCCCTGGTGGCTTTTGTTAAAAGTCGCAGGTGGTGACCTGTTGGAGGGTGCTGGTCTATATATATATATATATATCAGTGCCAGTGCCAAGACTTCTTACAGCAGGCAAGGGTGGTAAGCACTGGTAAGCAAGGCCACCAGATTGGTGCTTAGAAGGTCCTAGAGTCCTCCAGAGTCCTCCACCTCAGGGAAGTCCCCAGGCTCCCAGGCTACGCTCCGGACCTCGCCGATTCCGCCAGGGTCCAGCTATGCCCGTCAGACCCGTCAAGTGGACATCACTTCACTGGATGCATGTATGCCGAAAACGATCTGGCGCGTGGACATGCTCTGGTGCCAGCACAGCTCCCTCGCCTTCTTTGTTCTCTCTCTCTCTCTCTCTCCCTCCCTCTCTCCCTCCCTCCCTCCCTCCCTCCCTCTGTTTTGGTATGCCCACTCAGTGGTGTGTGCAGGTGGGGGAGCTCTTTGCTTGCCAAAGATGCTGTTGTTTGCGAGCGCATGGTCCCAAAGAAAATCCGGGCTACCTGTAAGACATTGCAAAACCATCCCTCTCACCAGGCCGGCCAGGCTGCTAAGGAGGCATCGCTGATGGACTTTCCAAAGGTTCCAGACTTGTAGCCATGGAGCATCAAGCGGGCCTCCACTCCTCGAAGAGTCTTGCTGAGCTATCGATCGATTCGTTTCCATCCGCCTGTGGAATTGGTCACAACATCTACAATCTACCACACACGTCCACACCATCTCGGAGTGTCCATGTTCTGAGCATCAACCCCATGATTTCTTGATTGAATCAACATTGGACAACCACAACCGACCAGTTGATCAACAACTATATGAACCTTTAGCATCAACCCTGGTCCATAACGACAAACTTGTTCAACTGGCTGTCAAACGGGTGCAGGAGTTTGTGGTTGCCACGAGTCAGCAGGGTAATCAAGTGGCAATATATCCAAACCTTGAACTGGTCTAGCTAGTCAATTTTGTGACCCCCAAACTGGTATTTAAATGTATTCAAAAGCATTGGCCTAGAGAACCCCTGCACAAACCCAGCCATACTCCCACTCACCCAGAACCCACATAGATCAAGGCCGGGTGTCCTGGCGAGGGAAAGCCCAAGACATTGCGTGCCTCGGCCGCAGGACTCCCAGAGAGGCTGGGCTTCATGGCAAGGATCAGCATCCGGATCTCGTGATCTTCCTGGCCGATGGCTTCGGCACCAATTCAGCTGTCACCCGAGCCTTGGGTTCCAGTCGTATCTTCTGAAAGGTGGGACTGGGATGGGTGCCAGCAGGGTCCAGTCATACCTTCTGAGGAGGCATGACTGGAGTTTTACATGCTACATAGGGGGAGCTAGCAAGGCCTTGTCAAGTGGAGGCAATACGTGTCAGACGAGTACTTGGGTGAGCTTCATTCGGCCGGTTCCGCCCCACGTCAACCCTTAAGACCCGACGTCCAACCCCGCAAGGGTTGCATTATGGGCAATCGATTCATTTTGGAGGTCCTATAATCTAATGTAGACTCTTGACATCGCTTGATCTTACTATTAATAAAAGCTTCATATTTTGCATTGTACAAACCCTTCATATGGAGGGTTTTGCTATAATCTATATTCATTAAGAATCCGAGTGTACATTGGCTGTATTTGCTTCAAGGAACTTAACTGCCAAGTGGATTTCCCCTCAGTGACGCTGCCAAGTGGCGAATTCCAGCCACGGATTGGAGAACGGTTCCTTCTCCAAGCGTTGCAGAAGCGCCCCCCGATCACTCGAATTGCACATCTCTTGGTAGATGTCGCGCATGGCCTGAACCCAGGGATTGGTAGGGGCCTAGGGCACAGGAATGGATCTGAAGGAATCCAGGAACAATCCAAATCACCGAACATGTATGGAATCCCGTTTGCTCCGGATATTATATTGGGATGGTTTTTAAAGATGTGGTGGTGTTATCATCCTTGGGTGCCTACGTAGAACCCTACGGTTTGGCTACGTTTCCACAGTGAAAGCCTACGACATGGCTTATTCCACATCGCCTATGGGAAATCTACGAACGTGAGGTTTTGGAGCATTACCATGCAGTCCTTGCGAGGGGAAACGTTTACGCAGCAGCTGACCCTTTATCTTTCAGATGATGAGCTCGGCACTCTACGATGGGCAAGTTGGTTTCATTGGCTATGTGCTTCACAACGGAAGACTGACAAGCAAGCAACGACTTCACGCTCATCATGAGTTTTTGGACATTACTTCGGAGGCGAGGGACGATACCACGCGGGACGTGCACTGACGCGTATAGTCTCCCCATGTCTTCGACATTGGGAATGCTTCTCAGAACAGCAGATTTTAATATCTATTTGAGAGTACTATAGGCAAGCGGACATAGGGGAAGGATAAAACAATGCATTTTCGCCTACAGTACAGTGCCTGTACGGAGAACCTACGGTGAGCCTATGGAAAATGTCCCCAGGAAAACAACACAAAAGAGTTGTTTGGGACATTGTTGGGAGTTCTCACCTCTTACACAGAAACAGTGGCCTTTCTAACCTCCCGGGTAGTCTTGGCATTGCGGTTGCATTGCAATGTCTTGCGTTTTTCTCTGGTGGTCATTCTAGGTGCTCTTGCAAACTGCCCTGGTTCATGTCTCAGACTATGAGATGAAAGACATCTGCTACAAGAAACTGAGACCAAAAAAAGAAAAAGCCACTGTCAATTCTAGTTTGAATCAGAAACGCAAGCTGGGTGACTTCAAGGCATGCTATTTCGGTCGATTTCGGTCGCCTACGGCAAACGCCTACGACAAACATTGGACCATACAATGCCTACGACCGCCTACGTCCTCAAGCAGGTTGCCTACGCCAGCCTTTTGAAGGATACATCTTGTATAAACCCTTTCATGTCAAAAAAACTCTCTGCTCAAATATATACCCAATCAAATCATATCAAATCCACATCCCAAACGTCAACTGGACCCAGTGCGAAGTTTTTCACCACCCAGCTTTCAATTTCATGCTGGGTGAGGTCATCGCAGCCATCCGCCTGGAGTCGATTGAGGAACTTGTTGAAGGTCCATACCTCAAACGTAGCGACGTGGGTCGTGAGCCGGTCCGTCGTCCCTGCATATCAAGTGGTCCGTCTCCTGCCATGACCCACGCGCGAGAAGGATCTACTGTAGATGGAGCACACGAGCGCGGATGAGGGGAGCAGTGCGCCCGGCCCGGGCCCAGAAGCAGCAGAACCGGACTCGAAGGGGAGCAGCTCAGCCGAGAGGAATTGGCCAACAAGCAAGTGGGCTTTTTCTACGTGTGCCGTCATTGAACCTGGCTCACTTGGGATTTCTTTTCTGGGAATACATGGGTTGGACGCCAGGCTGTGAAAAGAAACTCGTCCAAACTTAGGCCATCATTCGGTCTAGGTCATTGTGTGCATTACAAGGTTCACCCACATCATCTGGTGCGGGGGTCTCACCAGAAAACACGTGCATCTTGCAAAGTACAATCAGATAGAATCATAGTGGTGCTGTAATCCACATCTAGTAGCTTCTTCCCCGTCCCACGGAATCCGCCCGGAAAAAAAAGAAAGACTACACCGTCCGTGGCTACTGCAGTGGCTCCGTCAACCCGTCGCAACAAGCGACTCACGTGTTGCTCTTTGGAGCGACTGTTCCGGTGACCGGCCCTTTCACACCGCGAGGGAACAACAAAAACATGCTAAGTAGACTCTAGACTCTTGATCAATAACCCCAGCCATTTGAATTGAACATCCTCTTCATATGGGGGGTGTATTAATCAAGAGTCTACATTACAGTAGTACATCTGCCACTCATCTGATTCATATACTCCAAGTCGCAAACTTCAAGTCGCCTCTCCCCCTCGTCTGCCACACCCCCGCGGCCGCCCGATCGGTCAGCGCGCACGAGCGATCCGTGGGCAGCGCGGAAGGAGGTGCGGCCACGTCAGGCTCACTGATGGATGGCTTTCGGCTGTTGTTCAAGACTGCCACAACCATCTCCTAAGGCAAGGTCATGCCTTTTTATGGTTGTGATGTGGATGGCGGCAAGATGGAGGTGAAACATGATCCTCAAAATGTTGACGCATGGATACAAATATCAGCTTCCCACAGCTGCCCAATATAAACCAATTATAGGGAAAAACACGAGTATATTATAGTATATTTATAAAGGAAGAAATGGCAGTGATCATCTCGAAGCCCGCTATCAATCACTCCCGCTATCTGTCTTCAAATCCTCGCAAGAAGAAACGCCTTCAAAGGACTACATCTGTCTGGCCTATACAACAGATTTGCCCACTCCGTACTCCCAGTCAGATCTGCTGGGTAGATATCTGTATAATATATATATATATATTTATCCCAATGCTTTTGCATACTATAGCTTCAAGACCAAGCTGCACCCACTGGTCGTGACCAAAAATTGCATGGCCGTCATCAGAAACGTACCCTTCGTTGAAACATGACGAGAGAGAGAGAGAGAGAGAAGAAAAGACAATATCACACACACATATATATATATATACCAGGACCCTCCAAGAGGTCTCCCCTGGTGGCTTTTGCAGACTTAAAAGTCGCAGGTGGTGACCTGTTGGAGGGTGCTGGTATATTCATTATACATATAAAAAAGCAGCCAAACCTTACTCGCCTACCTACTCTACCACACGAATTCTATGCATCTATATAGTAGACATGTTGCAACTACCTTCGACCGTCAAAGCATATTCAATTGTATTCAAAACAGATGAGACTCTAAAACTCTGAACAACAAAAACATATCAAAAACAGATCTTTCAGGTGGGTCTTGGATTGTTTATTCAGAGGTCTTTTCGAATTGTTGGCACTCGAGTCCTAAGTCTTGAGTCTTGAACACTCCTTGACAACTTGACTACAGTCGATTTGATCACAGTAGCTCACCGTAGCTCCATGCATGTCCTGCCACATTGGTCAAAAGGTGGTGACGGTGAATAACTACACGACTCTTTGTGGAATAATTTCTTCTCTTAAGTTCCCTAAGGTTCCAGGAGAGTGCCTCCAAAACAAGACGCTATGACGGTATGGACCCTGGCACCCACCCCCAGTCCCACCAAGGCATTAAGGGACATATATATATATAGTTATATATATATGTACTGCCCAACAGGGATTGGCATCCACCATGCTACTCACCTATGGCTGCAGGTTTTGCATTTTTAGAAGGACACATGCCTGTTATACAATGATCTGCCCACGAGAATTGGATGTAAAAATGTGTTTTGCTTGACGAAATGATCAAGCCATCAACATCCATGAGGAAGAACATCAGTTCATTTACGGGCCACTCGGAGTGACCCCGAGTGATCTTTTACAAAATGACCACTCGAGTCCACACTGACTACTATATGACTATATGGACATCTTATCACAACCTGCTTTATTATAAACTCTTATAAAATGACTCTGCCAGGATACGATACACCCTTGTAGGACACATTTGTCTTCTTTACAGAATGACCTAACGGACCTAACCTTGTATTTTTCTATGAGATTCATTTCTGAATTCTCTATATCCCCTCCATTGTTTATAAAATGCTTCCTCACAAACACATGCCTATATTTGTGCTAGGGGTCCCCTCTTTAGCTTTTGTGAGATGGAACCTCAGTAGGCCATTTTGTAAGGTCAAAGGATCAGCATTTCATCACGGCATGGGCACAGGTCATCGGCATCAGCTTGGTCAACACTTCCCAACACCGCCCGTCTGCGCTCTTACCCAGCGTCCGGGAGGTTTTGGGCGGACCACAGGTCGGTGAGCACTTGGAGCTCAAAGTAGCTGTCCATCCCCACCTGCAAAAGATGACCTCGCGGCCTAACCGAACTGCTTAAATCCAAAGATAACTGGTTAATCTAACAAAACCAGTCAGGTTATCCAAATAACTTTGAATAACTTAACCGAATTCGAATCGAGATAACTTTGTTATCCAAAGATGCTGCTGAATTCAAAGTCAGTCTCTAACAAAACTTTGGGCCAGGGACCCACCTCATCAGGTGACAGTCTAATTAGGGGATCTGAGGTGAGGTTTACCAGTCCGGAGTCCCTGCCTTCTCAATGTCATTCCGTTCGGCCATCCATCTACATATTAATATATTATATAATACATATATACTTGCATAAACCATGGCTACATTGAGCCCTGAAAAACCACCCACCCTGAAGGGCGAGACAGCACGCTACCGTCCCATGGCTCATGGGACTGGGATTGGGGAGGAAGATGCCCATCGAGTGCTCTGAACCTGCCCAAATGAGACCTCCGGTACACGAGGTCTCTCGGAGCAAATGCATTCGATCCCATGAGGGTATACCGCCTGAAAGGCTTCTGCCCATGAAGGGCAAATTGCCTTTGCAACTCTCAAATGAGCGATACATGAGTGATGTGTCATCCCTTCGAAACCATCATGTTCATCCCTTCTCACATGCATAAGTCAGCTCCTCAACAGCTCCCCACAGTTCCCTCGGTCTCTTTGGACGTCTCCCTGCAGCGTCCACACGCCCGTGCCAAGGAGGCCCCGCACGCGCCACGCGTGGTCGCGTGGGTTCCTCGCGGGTGATCTGGTTGGCTTCGTCGACCAAGGGCACGGTCCGATGAAGGGTGCCCACCTCGGAGGGGCCGTCGGGTCCCAAAAACTGGGGGGAGCACAGGCAACTTTGGGACGGCTTGGACGACTCTTGGAAGCAAACATTGGGGAAGAACATGTTTTTAAAGATATGTATTGTCTTGGACTGTTGGTGCCTGGTTGTTTGCTGGTGAGTCATTTGGGGAAATTCAACAACAACAACAATAACAACAACCACCACTACAATTAATTACAACTACAGCAACAACAACAACCACCACCAACACCACCACTACTACTCCTACTGCTACTGCTACTGCTACTGCTACTACTACAGTACATATGTGCTACCGCCACTACTGCTGCTACTACAACATTATCTATGTAACATCTTGTCTGGCAGGGACGGGTGTAAACAATCTATGACAAACAGCTGCAACCCCCCAAAAGGTACTGGATGATCGCCCTCGGGCAGTGCGCGTGCGCGACTTTCGTCGGAGCTGGTCGAATTTCTGGCTCGGTCCAACCAACACATCACATGGAAGTGGAGAATGGTCCCGTGGGAAGACTCTATTCCTTTAGCACTTCTTGGACTTCTCCACTTCCATCTTGCCGGATTCGGAGGGCATTCGAACTACTCATCCTGTAAAACATGTCAAAACCCTTCACCTCTGATTCTTCCAGCCTCCCTCCGCCACTTCTTCCACCCAGTCGCGAAGTGCTTGGCCTCCTCGGGACCTGCACAGCGCTGCAGGTCGTCCACGTACTTCCTGAGGTGCCGAAAGGATTGGCTCGAGGAATCTTCAATCTCAGCCAGCGCCTGGAGGAGCACGGATTGGTCGGAGAGATGCAAAGGCCAAGTTCGGGATGAGTTGACGCCCATCCACATGTTCATGAGTTGTATCTTATAAACTATTTAAGTTCCATCCAATGACTAGTCATGTATTAAAACTTATAACTCACTTAGCTTACTAAAGCATCCCCTCCCTTCTCTTCCCCCGCCTGGTCCAACTCCGCCTGATTGTCCGCCCCGCCCGCTCGCTCGTTCTCGGCGTTCGAGCTGGCGCGGAGCTCGCTGGCTGTGAGGGGCACGGCGAGGCGGAAAGCCCAGGCGTGGCCGAAAATCAGCCGGTCCTGGAGATGCTGGGCATTGCGAGCATGACCTCATGGGGTCAGCGACCTCATTGACCGGGTCCAAACTCAGGTTCTGTCACCTTACAAAACTCCAACTCAAGTTCATAGGTTCTGAAAAGATGGCCCCGGACGCTCCTGAATTTGATTGGACCGGTAGCAAGTAGCAAGGGCTATCTTTTGGAGTCACCTTGCAGTAGCGCTGCAAAAGAGCTTCCTCCGAAAGGATTGACCGGAGCCTCGTCTCACCCACCCCAAGCACGGAGCCTCGTGCGGTACGTGACCAGGCCTTTTCTTGGAACCTGAAAACCAAGACATCAAAAAGGCACGTCTTCAGAACCAGGAAGAACTCATTGCATTCCGAACGTTGGATGAGCAGGGCATCCCGGATCCCACTTGAGTGGGGCGGAAAACACCCTCAGTCCATCGGTCCATCGGGTCTCCTGATGTTGGATCTCCACCTTCTCAGTGACACGGCGACCGTTCAGCAAGACCCGTGGGAAGTCCTTCTCATCGATACCTGGGCGAGCACCGAAACAGCGGTACCGGTGCACTGAACAATAGCCCGGCGTAGGGAGGTAGGCTGGTTTGCTGGACTTGCTCAAGAGTCTTGAAACCTCACGAAACCCTCGAATTCATATGCTTGGCAAAAAGGGATCAAACAGCATAGGTTCGAAGCTTCAAAAGCATTGATCAAGAATCACGACGGGTCTAATTCAAAAAATGTAAGCCATTGTAAGCCACTGGCTCCCTCAGTTTGCTTGACAAAAAGGAACTTGCAATATCTTGCAATTTAGAAAACAACCTCCACCAGAAAAGTGAACAGCAGGTCTCTCCCAGTTTTCCTGTGTCGCTTCTGATCTTTTTAGCCCAAAAAGGCCGCTGCAAGCTACATGGAGCAGGTTGGAGAGTGAGCCGTCGGTTGCCCTCATTGCAAATGCTGCAGTGGTAGGGCTTCATCCTTGGTGAAATCAAATCTGAGCAAGTTCATCTCAACTCAGCTCCCCATTGCTGGGGTGGATAAGTTTAAAAAGTCCGCTCACCAAACAAGCACTATAACAAACCCGAGCCTTTTGGGGGCGGATCGGCGGATCCAAACACGGATCCAAAACGACACACCAAATGAGTTGAACATGCCACAACTGACGTGAGTGAACCAAAATGATATCAAACAACATCCTCTCACGTTCCCCGTTCCCTCTTTTTTAACATTAAGAACCTTCCATCGAGGTCCCCTCACCAGAGTCCATGTCCTTCTACCGGGTGAGAGTGGTTCTTGAGAACAGTTGCCGTCTACAGGCTGGTATCTCAAGGCCATGTCCAGGCCGGATCACTTGATAGTGGGGGCCCCCACCCCTTGGAGGTGTCCAGTCTGCGGCAGCCGATCAATCAAGGTCCCCAAGCGTCCCCAAGCCGCTCATGCGGACCTTGTTGCCATCGGAGGAGCCGATGGTGACCTCCGGTCCTGGTAAGAAATACCTCAGGAAAGAGAGGTCACGTCATGGCGTGACACGACGTAGGGTCTTTTCGAGGTTGGTAGGTGTGCAGAAAGTGCGGAATAGGGAGCAAAGACCCCAAGGTTGAAGAGGTTTTGGGGCCTGGCCTTTGTGAATGCACACCCAGGTGATCAGCTGGACTCAAAGACAATAAATGTTACAACCCCTGATCACCTTGGAACTGAGGTCTTCAAATTGCAAAACCCTGTAATTGCTTGTGTCCCAGTACTTTCGGCCATGAGCATGTATCTCATCTACCTGGCACCGCTCCCCACGGCCGCCTTTCTGCGCAAGGCAGGACATCCCGGTGCAAATCAGTGGTGCATCTTCCTGCGCGAACCTCCCCGTGAAGCTCCCCATACAAGTAGCTGTTACTAGTTCTGAGGACAATCTCTTGCACCGATGCAGGAAGACGTTCCAGGTCACGTGGGCCATGCTGGGCCGATCCAACCCCACACCTTTTCTACCTGGTACATCCTGGTACCAGTCTTGCACCAAGCGGCATGAGGCAGCCTTGCAAATAGGGATCCTCTGACAGATTCACCAAATAGGGTACGCCATCCTGGTGCCCGTCTCTATCCGTCTCTTCATGGAGACGGAGCGAGCTTCTTATAATTGAGCTTCTGATCATGTCGGTGTCCCAACACCTAAGGATGGGCCATGTACAAACCTGTAGACCATCTATGGTCCATCTATATATGGGTCTTAAAGTTGAAACTCAGGTTGACCATCCTGACAGATTGGCATCGCCCAGCTCTATCTTCACGGTGTCTGCTCAGCTCTAATTCCTGGCATGTTTGACCCTCTCTTGACTTCCTTGATCACTTTTCCCTCGGCCACAATCTCGTGCATTGTCCACACACACAAGTCTATTTCTCAAAACGACTCCCGGCTCCAACATGTAGCCAAAAGAACTTAATACACAATTGTCCTATAATATCCTATAATTGTCTATATAATCTCTCCCGGTGACAAAGCCAGCCAACACGGCACGCACATTGGCATCTGAACATGTCCCTAAAAGTATGTGGCCCAAGTCTTGCGCCCAAAGCATTAAACATGGTCACAAGGTCACTCGCTCTGTGCAAGCCAGGCGCCACCAGCTAAGGATGGTGCGTGCTGTGCACCCCGCCCATGTGTGTCTTGCAACCTCTGAGTTCCATGCATGAACACGCATCCTCCAGAAGCCAACAGAAATGACCCCTCTCGATCAACCTAGGCCAGGCAAAATTCTGCTGCTCAACGCCAGCCAGCGCCTACAGTGGATCCATCCGGAACCACTCGCCATCGCAGGAACCACGGGTTCCAGCTGTGCTGCGCGAGATACGCGACACCCCGACCTGCTACCGCGCCGCTCAACCTAACGTCCCGGGCCTTATCCGAACCGACGACCACGCTGACACCTTCGGTGTTCACGCTGAGGCCCATCTCCTGGGGCGAGTTCGGGGGGCTTCAGCTCGTCGAAGGCAGTTCGGTCTGAAGGTGGACACCTGAAACAGCACTTCACCAATGACTTAGAATTCATTCACTGGGACTGAATTCCATGGGAACAAAGAAGTAAACCCCCTTGCTTGATGGCCTCTGCATATGGAGTTGTTGTCTAGACCGAACCCCTTCAATTCACCTGGGTCTTCCAGTCATGAACTCCTGATCTACCCAGACTCTGCACGCTCCCCCGCCAGCACCTCCGGGTGTTCCACCCCGGCTCGTCGGATCAGCCAGCGATGCGCGTGGCCATGCCGAGGCACCTTGAGGCAGGCAGCTCGCTCGATGGCCAAGGCTTGCGAGCGGCTTTTCTCCTGCTCCAGAGCGTCCTGGTTCGGAAGATGCAGACAGAACCATTGAATGATTCATCCCAAACTAGCAGCAAGGGGGTTGGGGAACTCCCTCAGTCGCTGCTAGCTCCTTTCATCGCTCCCGAATGTTCGGTCGTTTCGACCGATGGATGGTCCCTATATATGTCCGCTCCGAAGCGTTTCCGGTTTCCGGTCATTCGCGTCTCATCGTCCGTCTTTGCATCGGACACTTCGGTCCGTGCCGTGGCTCCCTTCGGTCCGTGCCGTGTCCGTGGAGTTCGCGGACGGATGGGCTCAGCCTCCACATGCCAAAACTCCCTCAAAGGGGTGCCCTGTTATTCTTTTGGGATCAGCTTGGACTCATGAACCCTAGAAGTCCAAAGACGATATTTTTACCGATTGAAGTGCTGGAAATTTCTTTTTGGGTCCTAAAGACCATTCTTTTCTATAGCCTTTGACTCCCAGGGTGAATTGGTATGGATTTGAACGATTTGACAGTTTCCCTGGTTCCTTGAAGTGTGCGATCACTGCTTCCAGCTGTGCGATCTGCTCATCCGCATTCCACCTGAGAAGCAGTTCAATGAATCGCAGGATTCCCCCGAGCAAAGGCAAGCAAAGGAACCCAGGTCCACCGACCGAGTCGCCGTTGGTTCATCTCCATCTGCGATTTGAGTCGTGCAATCTCCTCCTGTGGAAGAAGCGACAAAAGCAAACGATGAATTGGCAGGAGGATCCTGCCGGGCATGGATAGATTCACATGAAAGAATCATCAAACTCAGGATGTTGGATCAAAGGATCATTTTGCAAAGTCAAAGAGCTCTGTTGGTTCAACCCTCGAGCATAAATGGTAGGTCTTCAATTCAATAAATATAGATACAGGCGGGAAGCCACATCCAAACAACGCCAGGGACATCCACTTTGCAGTTGTGCCAATGAGATTACAACAGCTTTCTGTATGTTTTGAGGATTTGGTGGCTCGACCTGCAACGGAGAACTGGACCTAGGCAAGTCCTTCATGTTTCACAACCCGACATTCAACATCTTTCAACCCATTAGGAGCAGACATTCTATATTCCTCACTATTCTATACCCCTCTGTTCAGCAACCACTTCTCCAACAAGAGCACCGAGAGTCCCGTGACTGCCTGCAGTTGCTTGATGAGGTTCGCCTTGTTCACTCGGTTGCTGGTCACGGTCGTCCTCAGTAGCAACCCGCGGAGCGCCATGGGGCGAGTTGGCCATTCCCTCGGCTGGTGGGTTTGACCTACACGCACGCACCAGCCGAGACGGATCTGTTACTGTAGATACTTGCTCTTACCGTCTTACCCCTTAGGTCCTGTTTGACAAATTGGATCTTCTCTTGGGCATCAAACGTTTGGAAGGCCCACAGAATTTGTCAAGCATGACTACCACATACTACAACATGTATATCGTGCATATGGATGCATATATTTTTCTGTGCATCTTCCCTGACCAGTCCATCCCGCGGCGAAACATCCCGCTTACGGCAGCTGAGAGTCATGTGAACTTGGACTTGGGACTTGACTATTCTACCAGTACCAGGAGCTTCCAGCCACCATCTGGCAAGCCGACATTCCTACCTAACTAAACACGTGAGCCGTGTGCAACTGGTCCAACACCAGAAAACAGTTGCTGTAGCAGCATCCATGAATTATTATTGTCTATTAATCAAAGGACTCCAACCACACACAACTGGTCTCGGCCCGCTGATTTGAACACACAACATCGTGCCGCTCGAGGAATCCCAACATCGTGCCGCTCGAGCATCCGAATTTGCTTCACCATATCAGCAAAGCGTAATGTACTGATCGTTTCCTGGGCGCAGAACTTACGAAATCCAGAACTTCCATGTATAGCTATGTCACACCAATACTCACCAATGTGAGAACTTGGCAACATCTGGCAACATCTACCGGGTTGTCAAACCTGAAAGCAGCGTCTCTGCTTAACAATGAACACTAATGATCAATAAAACAATAAAACCCCTATTTTGGAGTTGAATGGACATTCTGCTAGGGGGCTTTATTAATTGACAGTCTAGATCTACATCAGGGGAGATGAGATGGATTCTCGTGGATGGCAACCTCACATCTCATTCGCAGGTCGTGCATGTCAGAAACTGGGGTAACATATCAAGTCAGTCACGATGCCTAATTACCGTTGATAGTTGGCTGATAGAGTGGTTTTGGGGTAGATGGCACAACCCCCTGGCCAAGATGTGTTGAGGTCGGGCTCCATATAAACCACCGACCTTGGGGTCTGCGCCATCTACTCTCAATCCACTATAGATGAGGTCTTCCTGCACTAGCAGTCTCAGCGGGATCCTTGTTTGGTTCTTTCTTTCACAGTAGTAGATGAGAGCTGAGGGGGGCATGTTCCAATGAAATTGCGCAAGTTGGTCATGTCCATTTTCCGCTTCACAGGTTGTTCCTTGCACCATTGCTGGTGCTTTTCAAAGACCGATTCCATATGGACAACTTGTGTTGCATGGTGTCTGCCCTCCCGGTTCACGAACGAAGACATGCCTCCGAACTGTTGCTGCAAAAGGATTCTTGTCTGGTCCAATCACCCATGCACATTGCACACCATACCACCTACCACACCGTCCAATACCGTCCACACCACCCGGCGCGGGCGGAACGGCGCACGGGCTGTGCCGGCGCCTCGAGGTCGCCACTGGCGGGCGAGACCGCGGCCACCATGCCGGTCCGTGAGTTGCCCGTGAGCGAGTGCGCCAGCAGTAGCGTGAGCCGTGAGTTGCGCACGTCCTTAGAGGTTTTTGGGGTTTCGCCAGCGGGTGTTGTGCGCCAGCCGTGGGGTGTTGTGCGCCAGCCGTGGGTCAGATAAAGCCCACTAAGCTGCTACTGTAGATTTTTTTTGTTGGAATTGGGTGAACACTGACAACGGTGATTGGTGGACGAGGTTGGAGGACAAACGTCACTTGCATTGTCTGGAAAGGATCGGCAGCGGTATAAAGGTAACTAAGCCATACTATTCCGTGCGCACTGCAGGTTCAGGGTTCTTGCGGGATGTCCGGCCGATGAGCAAAGTCTTCACAAACCACGAATTGCTTTGGACCATGAGCCGACCTAAAGCCTACACTCCGACGAACACATCACATGGAAGTGGAGTGAACACCACCTGTCTGGTATTCCGAAAATGGGTCTTCCGAGGGCCCATGTTACTTCCACTTCCCATGTGACGTGTGGATCGGAGTCGGTTTTCACCGATCAAGTTGAGCAGACTGGAAGACTGGTCGGTCGGTGTGCCTAAAAGTGATCAAGAGTAGCTGATCTAACCGAATACAGTAGATCTATCCTGCAAATAGCATTGTGATCTTTCTGTTGATTCTTTTTGGTGATCCACTTCATAATATGTGTGGTATATATATATATATACATATACATATCAAACGTATTAATATTCATATATATATATACATGCACAATACACATATAATATTGTCCTATGGTGTAATATCTTTTTCATATACGCACGTGCCTTTCTAAATTATGTTGTGTTTTTGTTTATATCCTATTGTCAACATTGTTTATCTCCGGTCCTATGGTGTCAACAATATTTCATATACAGCAGTGCCTTCTATATTTTTGTTATTTGTTCCTCCATCCTTTTCCGATGATTTGCTTTCCATCGGATCATTGGGACTGGGCCCCCGCGGTTTGTTCCGAAGCCATCCCGAAGCCTGCCAAGCCGGGCAACGGGAAGATTTTTCATCTTGCGGCCCTTGGAGGAGGCTTTGGCCAGGTTGATGATGCAGGTAGAGAGGTGGAACCTCAAATGAAGAGGCTGTGTCCCACGGAAAAATGGGACATCAGCAAAAATGACATCTGGTGGATTTGGGGGGGAAGGCGGGCAAAACATCAACACCACATCTACGATCATCTAGAAACATGACCTCATGCAATTTGTTTGGCAGATTCCACTGACATCCAGACTCGTAGCTCCCCTTTTTGAAGTGATTTGCGATGATTTGAGCCAAGCAAGGGTTCTGAAGAGGCTATTTGCACAAACCTCTTCAAAAATGCAGGTAAACAACCCAAAGAAACACTCCCCAGACTTAGCAAACCTGGGTTCCCCGACTTCGGCTTTTCTGATTTGGCACACTGCATTGGGATGGTTTCAGGATCACTGTCAGGGGTCACAGTACATATGCCAGTCCCAGGAGTTTCGGAAGGCTCTTCGGCTCATATTTGACCCCCCAAACGAACAGCCCCACTGCTACTGGTAACAAGTGCATCGCTACTAGTAACACGTGCATGTCTACTAGTAGCACATAGCTACTATATAGTAGCGTCCTTGCTAGTAACAGGTGCATTTCAAATGAACAGCCCCACTGCTGGCAGGAACAAAGACGTGTTGATGAACTGCCGCTCCTTGAGTCCTCGGAGGTGGCAGTACTCGCAGGAGCAAGACCAGTCCAAATGGGGAGGAATGAGGGAGGGTGATATTGAAGCAATACCCCCATCCCTGCTATTCAGGGGGTGAGACACACCTCGTTGATTGATTGATCCGTCTAAGAATTGCAAGCTGATTGATTCTTGCTTTTTGGGGGGACACTTCTATATCCAATAGTGACACAGTGAGACTGACTGTTCTGTTTGCAGCTCTTCGGTCTTTGCCTGCTTTGTCCAGACCTCAACCACTCACATGCTTGCTGCAGAAATAGACGAGCCAGCTTCTTCAAAGTGACCTTTTTGGAGTCCCTGTTTGTGACGTTTTACTGTTCGTGATCTCACACCCGGGGATGGGCAGTCACTTTGAAGAACCAGGAGAACAAGGAATGGGTTTGGGGACATGGGTATGTCTGGAAGACTTGCTGGTATTGCACACAGCGCCAAAACTCAACAAGTCTCAGGAAGCAAGTAGCTTGACTGTTGGCTCACTCTCTGAAGAAATGTGGCAAACACCTAGACAAGGAACATAATCTTCCAGATTCATGTGTGGGCTGCTATTACTTTGGAAAAAGGGGATCCCACAAAAAAGGTCCAAAGCTCAAACGCGTGGCCAGTGATATATCGGTATGTGTGAAGGATCAGCCCTTGCCGCCAAAACAATTCTAAACAACACAGATGTTGCAACCCAAAGCAGCAAACAAAAAGAACACTCACCTGGTTGGCTGCAAACATGTGTGCTCCTTCAATGGTATAATATACGTCCTCCGTTTGCGAAAAAAAGAACGAAAAGGAACGAACAAAATGGTGACTGTCGAAGGAGAAGAGCTTGAATCCAACAAACTGAAGAGGGAAACTGTTGAACAGAAGCAACCCGACAAAAGAAAAGAATTGCTTGAGCTTTCATCACCTCAAAGTTCACCCAAGCAAGAAACAAAGCCGGCCGTGGAACACCAATAATAGCCTACCCAGATTCCTAGAAGGTCCAGGACAGTTATCAGTTGACGGGCCACTTGGTGCTAAGCACAGCTACATGCAATTACGCCCTGGAAGATTAACATAGAACCTGGAAAACAAACTGAGTTGTAGTCGAGGAAATAAGTCGTTATTCTTGCGGGGTGTACGGTGTACATGGTCTGTACGTCGAGCTCCTCCATTTTTGAACATTGCATTCTGAGTTCCTGACCCTTCTTGGCCAAAAGCCCCAGCAGTCGACCCTTAAAGCAGTCTACCCAGCCAGGGCCACAGGGATCTTTTGCCATTCTTCCAGGGACTCAAAATCGCATCTCCTCTTACATTTGAGACCAACACCCCATTTCTTATCAAGGTGCGGTCTTTGTTGTCCACGCTGCTCTTCTCCTGCTCGCGCCCCGCCAAGTCCACGAGCTGCACCTGAGCCATCTGCGTCTCACCGTCCTTGCTCGTTTGCTCGAAGCGGAAGGTGAAGACCGTGTGCGCGCGACTACCTCGGAAGAAGCGAAGGGGCGGTTGAAAACGACGGGGAGGATAGTGGTTTGGAGGGAATCTCTTGGATGTAAAAAAGGTATAACGATCAAGATAGGGAATGGGGACAAAAAACAAGGTTGAACATGTACAGTCATAAAAAGTTATAATAAGTATCAATTAAATTCATATTTCATAAGTATTGTATAAATCCTCAACTGGAACCCATTCTGGAGTGTGCTTGTAGAGTGTTAACGTTGTAGGCCTCTTGCATCTTCCACATGGACTAACTGTTTCTTCTATCATGGCGGCACCTGATGGGGAGAAAACCCTCTTTCTGCTGCAGCCTGCTTGTGACTTCACCACCATTCCAGTATATTCCAGTGGGGGCCCGCATATGCCAGTCACATGCTTCCAGTCCGAAGCCTCGATCCTACAGTCCGAGGTCGGTGCGCCCAGGCGACTGCGATGATTCATGGAGGTCGAGGCGATGCTCCTCATCCTGCGGCTCCCGCTCGGTTGCTCGGTGGGTCGAGACTTGACTCGAACGACAAGCGTCGAACCCATCTCTCTCTCCGCAGGGCTGCTGATTTTGAGACTTTGGTTGATTATGTTGATTTGAAACCAGCAGGCTGATGGGAAGGTGGGGAACCATGGTCTTTAACAAGCTGATGTTGAGACGTTGGAGGGGAACATGGTCTTATAACATATATGCTTTCAATGGGGTTCAGTTTCCATGTTCCATGTTTGGATCATAGAGCATCATAGAGCTAAACATAGTGTCCGTGGGATAACGCACTTCCAGCACAGCACAGGACTGTTCACCTTTCTTAAACTCACTTTTCAGCCGTGGGTTCATGGCAGCGGTGGTTCGTTCCAAGCTCGGACAAACAAAACCAGTTCATGCAAGCGCCTTTTCAAGGGAGAATTTATCTCCCTGCGCACCTTCAAGATCTTGCTCGCCGCTATAGCCAATTTATTTAATCCCAAAAGTCAACGAACATAGCATGGCATGGCCCTGGATTTTCGAAACGACACAAACCAGGGGGGGCGCCTGTATTTGTCCGAGAAGGAGGGGAAAACCCAAAACAACAACGAACGGGCATTCTGCATTGGCACCGAGCACTTCCGGCGCTGCCTGCCCTTCCCTTCGCAAACACCGGCGTTCGCATGCGTTCGCAACGGCTCCTGGTGCCGAAGTTCACCAACTCCATGGCCTCGTCGATGGTGGAGGCGTTGGACTGGGTCAAGTCCTGATCCACGCGGCGAACGCGCGCGGTCCGCGCGGTCCGCGACGTGCGTCTGCGACGTGCGTCCCGTGCGGTCCGGTAGGGTCGCGAGAAACGGAGTCTCAGGTCGGGGTGTGGATCATGGGCACCCCGACCCTGTGACTCTGTCAACGGATCTTTGCGGTCACAAACCCGGGAATTTGGGGTCAACACAAACCCGAGCCTGGCGGGGGGTTTGGACCTGGCAACTGGAGCGGCAGTAGACCAAAACATCACCAACGCATGATTCTGCAGAGTCCCAAGCTTGCCAAGCCGGCAGGTGCGTCAAATATATGTCATCATATGTCCAACCCACCTTCCTGCCCTCGTCCATCGTCCGTGTCTCCGCCGGGGCACATTGATCATCACGCCCAAAGACGGGTGGTAACGCACCTGCAGCGCTTGGCGTGGCTCGCCGACCTTGGGTGGCACTAGGAGGTCGTGGATCTGCTCGTTGAAGATCTCCTCGGACCACCCGGTGGCTCGGACATCCGGTCCCCTGAAGGTGGGGTGGGTGCGGTGCCAGGGGGTCGGAGATGGTGATGGCCGGTTTCAACTCCAAATAACTCTGAGGATCAGTGGTTTCAATATGTTTCAATCATCCCAAGTCTGAAAGGAAACATCTCCGAAACCATCACCGGACGAGGCGATGGTCGCATTCGTTGCTTCGATGTTCAGCGCTGTCTCTGGGGTTGGTTGGTGTGCATCTCCGAAGCTTTGGAGTTGCCCCAAAATATTTCCGCACTCCAAGTTAGAGGTCATGGGGAATGTGAACAGGTGGTGAAGCGAGTCCAACAAAAGAAAACAAAGGGTCAAAGACCTTCTCAAAAGGTACTTGGAGACTGCCTAGGACCTAGCTAGTATTATGCTCTTGTGATCCTTCACTCAGCTCCGTCATTCATTCTAGCTGGTTGAGCAGGCGCAGCTAGGGCTCAGCTAGGATCGATCAAAGGGAAAACAATCTCAGTGGCACCTGAAATGATGCTTCCTAAGGATTCATTGCTCCTAGTTTCTCCCGAGATCTGTGGAAAACTGATGAAACCACATCCAAAAAAGCCTGCTCCAGATTGAAGATCCCACCCGTAACTTCAAGCATGTGAGCGCCCCAAGAAGCACATCTATCACACCGCGCTGATGAAAAAGAACGGACCACAAAAACCACGTTCAAACAAACAACTAAATACTCATGCCGCCATTTAGGTGGTCGTCGGGTGGAACCGAGCACAAGCGGGACGCCCACCGCCGAGCAAAGCGCTGTCAAAGGCGCCAAGTAGGAAATCTGCAAGGAGCTTTTGGGCCCTTCCGCACCCTCCTCGCCGGTCATCGCCCGCGTCTTCGCGGCGAGCTCCGCGAACAGGCCCTCAAGCACCCGCGGCAGCAAGCCACGGCGCTGGGGGCTGTGCACGTCGCCTGGGGAAAGCTGCTTGTCATTGGACCTAGGTGCTCCATGTATTGAATATACATGGGTAGTTCTATATAGTAAGTCATATACAAATTTTGGGTAGTTTTGTAGTGTACGGTTGTACGTGATTGTAAGGCCCATTATGGAGAATTAGGATTCGACATAGCAAAGTGCTATGTTTGGAGGGAGGGTAGCTGAGGTGGTTGCTGTTGTAACCTACTGCAGCCCTGATCCAGAAAAACATGTCTTGCTTGGAGTGGGAATGAGAGTTCAATTACTTTCATGTCCCAGATCGGCAGCTTACATCAATTTTAATGCCTGAGCGGTTCTTCACCTCCCTTTCCATAAGCCATCTCCAAGTGTCCAAGTTGTGCAAAAACAATGTTTCATGCAAAAGTTGTTCAGGACAACAATGCCTGTCCAATATGTATACTATTTTATATACTTATGCTTTACTTTTGGATATGGACAAAAATAGCCGTCAGTTGTGCCAGAGTGCAGCAGGAAGTTTCAAAGCATTCACAACTATATATCTATAGATCCTACAGTAGGACGTGGGAATCTCAAATCACTTGGTTTCTCTCCTTATAGAATGTTTAGAGCTTTCGTTGTCAGCATATGCACGACTAACTAAAGTGCAGGACGACTGCAAATGCAAAAGAGTAGACCCAAGCAATCTGCAACAAATCAATCCTTAATTGATGGTCACCTGCCCATGATCCAAGGTCATTGCAATTCAACAAGACATGACGAAGAGGAACTGCATGGACTAAAGGACCTCCAAAGCTCAGTACATGTAGACATGTGTAGGCTCTTGATCAATCCATGAAAAGGTGTTTCAATCCACATGGGGTGGGGTGATTCATCAAGAGTCTACATTAAGCCCAGTCTGGGCTCAGTATGGGTCAGGTGATTCAACCTGTGATGCAAATGCCAAGATCCACCGGGCGGCCCAAGACCGTGTGTGTCTTGCCAGCACCCGTCTGGCCATATGCAAACCTGGAGTTCGGGCGCGGCGTGTGGGTGAAAAACGTTCAAACAGGGGACAATTGACCAGACTAAGCACTCCAAAACACAATCATGTGCAACCGTGCAGCAACAACAACAACAACCACACAAATGATTCTAAGGGGTGCTCTGAAGAACGGGTATAACCGGTAGAACTTGCAGCAGGGACCTCATGTTGGATCAGCCAAAATCAATCTCAGGATCAAGTCACCCAAAAAGACAAGAGCTCTAGACTTTACAACCCCCACGGTATACAGTGCGGTCACGAACTACAACATCACCTTAATGCTCTGCACACTGCTCCAAGGTACAAGCAAGCGTTGTAACCATCCAAAGCGCAGCTCACGATGCGTCGGCCGATGGTTTCAAACACCGCCTCCTGTGTGTGGTGCTGATGGAAAGCACATCCTTCACCTCCACTAGTCAGCATCCTGGAGCCTACAAGACCCAAAAGGGAAGTTCACAAGTCTACTGAACCCTGAAACATAGACCTCTGGAACATCCGCTTCTGCTACGGCCCACATGGTGGCACCATGGGGTCCGGCTGGAAAAAACATGGGATGTTTTAGATCTGAGGCGCTGCCGGATGTCTTCAGCCAAAGGACCAGTGGGCATCTTGGCTTCAAACTTGGATGCCCAAAGCTGGGGCATACCCACACATTCCATGTTTGGAATGTATACATACATTGACCCTGAAAAAAAACCATCGCAAAGTAGGCTAGCGGCTATAGGACATGTCAGTCTCATGGAGTGTCTGGGATATGCCATCCACAGTGATACCAAAGAGTCAGGTGTTGAGGAAGTCCATCTGCAAATGTCACACGGAAATCATTGGCAGCATGTGGAACAAACCCTTAGACCTGTCACCTTTCCAATGAACTTCACATTCAAAAAACCATATTGGACCCTACATCTGAGCGCCTTGAAACCATCAATCCCAGACCCGTTTCAGAACCACACACACTGACAAGCATCACACCCGCGCAGGCACACATGCACACAGCACACAGCACACACACAACTATACTACACTATACTATATATATATGATTGTATATGTATACACACATACACTAAATCATACACTATCATACACACTCACATATTGTATATATATATACACCGCACACACAACCACAAACAACCACGGTCACCGGCCAGTGCCACCGGTGGCACCGGTGTTTTGGCTCCTGCGAGGCGAAGCCCGGATCGCCCGGGCGTCCACGGGAGTCCAGGACCTCGGAGGTGACCGGCACAGGTGGGGTGAATGTAAAGGAAACGCCAATTATTTTGGAATTGTTTTGGGGTTCAACATTCTGATTCAACACATGGTTTCAGTTGGTTTTGGGATGAAAACACATGGTTTCGATACGCAAGCCTATTTTCTTTTGGTTTCGCGTTGTTTGGAATGCATCTCATGCAAGATCTGGCTTTGTTGTATTGGATTTGGTTGAAAGTTGGCGATAGGAGAGTGAGATCTGATCTGGAAGAACCGACTGAGGATCTACCCAACGACCGGGTCGCCCCAACTCGGGCATTTTTAGGTTGAAAAGAGTCCTGGCAATAGATGTGCTAATGAATCTTTCTGAGATAAATCTCTGTCATGAACCGTCTTCTGGACAAGCAAGCCCTTCCCCCAACGACAGCCAACCAAATCGCCTCCTTCTTTTTGGAGCCACCCCCCGCACCCCCGCAAAAAAAACAACACGCACAGACTTCATGATGTCCCATCTCTTTCAGGTCCTCCGTTCGAGTTCCGCGAAACCCGCCGAAGCCGATGGCCGCTTCGCCGGACTCGTCCCCGCGGAAGCCGAACCGTTCGCCGTCCCAGGTGGCGTGATCGAACTTGAAGGTGCGTGTCCCGGTGTCGCGATGAGCCTGCCTGGAGCCGCGGCAGGCGTGTCGGCCAGGCTCGGTGGAACGCAAACCCGGATGGTTGATGTAGGTGTGTCATACATGGATGGATGGATGGATGGATACGATACGATACGATACGATACGACAGGATAGGACAGGATAGGACAGGATAGGATAGGATAGGATAAGATAGGATAAGATAGGATAAGATAAGATAGGACAAGAGAGGATAAGCAATGATAGGATAGGATAAGAGGAGGATTTGGTAGGATAGGATCAAATAATGTAAGATAAGACTAGACACGATACTATTAGATAAGATTAGATAAGACTAGATTAGATTAGATAGGTTAGATAGATTAGACAGACTGGACATAAGACAAATAATACAGATAAGATTGATAATATTTATAATAAGATGTATAAGATGAGAACAATTGATACCATGGATAAGATAGATAAGATATATACATGGGATGGATACGATAGATAAGATAGATAAGACAATACAAATAACATATAGATAACATAATATACCAAGTATATTTCAAGACCACAACACAAGCCCATGGGGCGTTTGTGCAAATAAACATGGTCTCTCAATGGATTGGGCCCTTCGAGGAGATGGCTATGGTTATCAGTTTTCCCAAGTAGTTTGGGAAGCCAAACTGTCTGCGCCCTCTGAGTTGCTGGCTAGTTGTGTAGAACTTCTTGATTTAGGCTGTCCCATCCACTCATGCGGGTGGAGCCAAGAGCTAAGGATTGATATGTCTGACAATTGAAGATTCTCCCAAAGAGTGGAAGGAGCATGGAGAAGCATCCACCGTACCCCACTGTTGTCTTGACCCCACTCCTGCTTGTTGAGCCTAAATGCCTAAAACCAACATGCTCACTCCGAACCCAAAAAACAAACTTCCCCCCAAGAACGTCACAGCTCTTTCTATTGGAAACATGGCCCATGAATGCCCACCATATACCCTGGTTTGCACCCACTGCCACCCTCCAAACAGCTCTTATTCAGCTCTCGCAGCCGGGCGGCAAGGGGCTCTCGCAGGCCGAGTTTTTCCGCTCAGGGCAGCGGGTCTCCACGGTGATCTGCTGGTCCTCCCGGAGCCGGGCGAGATCACCGTGTTTGGGCGAGAAAGATGACGGAAGGGAGGGTTTGGATGTGTGCATGTGAGAAGCCCACGAGCTAAGGCTTAGGGATGCATAATTAGGATGGATCCATAGATAGATAGATAGATAGATAGATAAATAGATATGATTAGACAAACAAATTGAGACGAGCAAACTTAATTGATAATAGTGAAGTAAAAAAGTCATGTTCAAACATGTTCAAATATACTCGAGCTCAATAGACGTCACACAATCGTAGATTTTGATAAGTTCCAAGCAATGTAAACTGCCCAAGCGAACAACCAATGAACTGGACCTTTGCCTTTGCGTGAAGCTTCGGGGGACAGGCAGTCACTCGATCCATTGGCTAAAACACATGTCCACATAAACATGTCCATGTGCTTTTCCTTAAACACAACAAGTACTAGAAACAATGTGGTTATCTGGTTTCTCCATGCTACTCTCCATCCTGAAACTCTCTTTCATACTCTCTCCTCCACTGGCCAACTGTGCCACCCTGAGTTCCACCACCAGAGCCCATGGCTCGCGCGCCCGGTGCCCGGAGCCCCCGTCCTCCACGGAGAGGATGTTCCGCTCGTGGCGCTCCTCGTTCCGCTGGAGGAAGGGCCGGATCCGAACGGCCACCTGGATGTATTCCTTGGATCCGCTGAGGTAGAGAAAAAGCCACGGACCGCTCCGGTGCTCCAAACCGCGGGATGGGGATTGAACCAACACCACCAATTGATGCATCAGGGGGGGCGGGCGCCAGTCGCGTGCTGTGAAACCAAGGTATGACTGGACCCTCCAATTCCCCAAACACCTTCGAAGGCACTTGGAGCCCTAAGGAACATAAGTTTGTGTCGGAAAAATCGAGAAAAGTACATGCAATTCTTCAAAAAAAGGGGATTTCCTGATTGTCCAATCGTTGCGGCATGTGGGGAAAACATTGAAAAAAACACATATTCCATCCAGAACTTACTATATTGTACATATCACTATATATATATATATAGTGAGCTTCAGACAGATAGAATATTAAGGTGCATTAGGT